CACGATGTCTATATTACCTACTATCACGATGTCTATATCACCCATTACCACGATGTCTATATCACCTACTACCACGATGTCTATATCACCTACTACCACGTTGTCTATATCACCTACTACCACGATGTCTATATCACCTACTACCACGTTGTCTATATCACCTACTACCACGATGTCTATATCACCTACTACCACGTTGTCTATATCACCCACTGCCACGATGTCTATATCACCTACTACCACGTTGTCTATATCACCTACTACCACGATGTCTATATCACCTACTACCACGTTGTCTATATCACCTACTACCACGATGTCTATATCACCTACTACCACGTTGTCTATATCACCCACTGCCACGATGTCTATATCACCCACTACCACGATGTCTATATCACCTACTACCACGATGTCTATATCACCCACTACCACGATGTCTATATCACCTACTACCACGTTGTCTATATCACCCACTGCCACGATGTCTATATCACCTACTACCACGATGTCTATATCACCCACTACAACGTTGTCTATATCACCTACTACCACGATGTCTATATCACCTACTACCACGATGTCTATATCACCCATTACCACGATGTCTATATCACCCACTACCACGATGTCTATATTACCTACTACCACGTTGTCTATATCACCTACTACCACGATGTCTATATCACCTACTACCACGATGTCTATATCACCTACTACCACGTTGTCTATATCACCTACTACCACGTTGTCTATATCACCTACTACCACGATGTCTATATTACCTACTACCACGTTGTCTATATCACCTACTACCACGATGTCTATATCACCTACTACCACGATGTCTATATCACCTACTACCACGTTGTCTATATCACCTACTACCACGTTGTCTATATCACCTACTACCACGATGTCTATATCACCCACTACAACGTTGTCTATATCACCTACTACCACGATGTCTATATCACCCATTACCACGATGTCTATATCACCCACTACCACGATGTCTATATTACCTACTACCACGTTGTCTATATCACCTACTACCACGATGTCTATATCACCTACTACCACGTTGTCTATATCACCAACTACCACGATGTCTATATTACCTACTATCACGATGTCTATATCACCCATTACCACGATGTCTATATCACCTTCTACCACGATGTCTATATCACCTACTACCACGTTGTCTATATCACCTACTACCACGATGTCTATATCACCTACTACCACGTTGTCTATATCACCTACTACCACGATGTCTATATCACCTACTACCACGTTGTCTATATCACCCACTGCCACGATGTCTATATCACCCACTACCACGATGTCTATATCACCTACTACCACGATGTCTATATCACCCACTACCACGATGTCTATATCACCTACTACCACGTTGTCTATATCACCCACTGCCACGATGTCTATATCACCTACTACCACGATGTCTATATCACCCACTACAACGTTGTCTATATCACCTACTACCACGATGTCTATATCACCTACTACCACGATGTCTATATCACCCATTACCACGATGTCTATATCACCCACTACCACGATGTCTATATTACCTACTACCACGTTGTCTATATCACCTACTACCACGATGTCTATATCACCTACTACCACGATGTCTATATCACCTACTACCACGTTGTCTATATCACCTACTACCACGATGTCTATATCACCCACTACAACGTTGTCTATATCACCTACTACCACGATGTCTATATCACCCACTACCACGATGTCTATATCACCCATTACCACGATGTCTATATCACCCACTACCACGATGTCTATATTACCTACTACCACGTTGTCTATATCACCTACTACCACGATGTCTATATCACCTACTACCACGTTGTCTATATCACCCACTACCACGATGTCTATATCACCCATTACCACGATGTCTATATCACCCACTACCACGATGTCTATATTACCTACTACCACGATGTCTATATCCCCTACTACCACGTTGTCTATATCATCTTCTACCACGATGTCTATATCACCTACTACCACGATGTCTATATCACCCATTACCACGATGTCTATATCCCCTACTACCACGATGTCTATATCCCCTACTACCACGATGTCTATATCACCTACTACCACGTTGTCTATATCACCTACTACCACGATGTCTATATCCCCTACTACCACGATGTCTATATTACCTACTACCACGATGTCTATATCCCCTACTACCACGATGTCTATATCCCCTACTACCACGATGTGTATATCACCTACTACCACGTTGTCTATATCACCTACTACCACGATGTCTATATCCCCTACTACCACGATGTCTATATCACCCACTACCACGTTGTCTATATTACCTACTACCACGATGTCTATATCACCTACTACCACGATGTCTATATCACCCACTACCACGATGTCTATATCACCTACTACCACGATGTCTATATCACCCATTACCACGTTGTCTAAATCACCTACTACCACGATGTCTATATCACCTACTACCACGATGTCTATATCACCCACTGCCACGATGTCTATATCACCTACTACCACGATGTCTATATCACCCACTACCACGATGTCTATATCACCCACTACCACGATGTCTATATCACCTACTACCACGATGTCTATATCACCCACTACCACGTTGTCTATATCACCTACTACCACGATGTCTATATCACCTACTACCACGATGTCTATATCACCTACTACCACGATGTCTATATCACCCACTACCACGATGTCTATATCACCTACTACCACGATGTCTATATCACCAACTACCACGATGTCTATATCACCCACTACAACGTTGTCTATATCACCCATTACCACGATGTCTATATCACCCATTACCACGTTGTCTATATTACCTACTACCACGTTGTCTATATCACCTACTACCACGATGTCTATATCACCTACTACCACGATGTCTATATCACCAACTACCACGATGTCTATATCACCCATTACCACGATGTCTATATCACCCACTACCACGATGTCTATATCACCCACTACCACGATGTCTATATCACCAACTACCACGATGTCTATATCACCTACTACCACGATGTCTATATCACCCACTACCACGATGTCTATATCACCTACTACCACGATGTATATATCACCCACTACAACGTTGTCTATATAACCCATTACCACGTTGTCTAAATCACCCATTACCACGATGTCTAAATCACCCATTACCACGATGTCTATATCACCTACTACCACGATGTCTATATCACCCACTACAACGTTGTCTATATCACCCATTACCACGATGTCTATATCACCCATTACCACGTTGTCTATATTACCTACTACCACGATGTCTATATCACCCATTACCACGATGTCTATATCACCTACTACCACGATGTCTATATCACCCATTACCACGATGTCTATATCACCTACTACCACGATGTCTATATCACCCACTACAACGTTGTCTATATCATCTACTACCACGTTGTCTATATCACCCACTACAACGTTGTCTATATCACCAACTACTATATTTTGATATATATATCACATACAGATACATCGTCTATATAAGGTACGGGCAGTGTGTAGGAGCGGGGAGGTCGGGGTCTGGTCTTAGCAAGGTCACCTTCCAAAACACTGACTGAGAAGCACTGGGTTCAAAGAAAACCATCACTATTTGCAAAATAAATGATGTGATACTCAAAATGGAACAGTACAATGTATTTGGTAATGACATGGATTTAGTACATACACATCGTGAATCTGCCGCAACTACAGACTAATCTAGGGATTTCATGTTAAATACTAATCTCAAACATAAATCATTCACACGCTGGCCATATGCTGCTCACTTCACACTATCCCGTATAGCAAGTTGTGTATATAGTAGTACTGTGACGGTGACAACAATTCCTGGGACAAAGTAGACACAGTTTGTGGATAACAACTTCTTTAATATTGTAAAAGGCGACGTTTCGGTATAGATCCTGATACCATTATCAAGAAGTTGTTATCCATAAATTGTGTCTACTTTGTCATCCGTCAACTTCTAAGTAATGACTATCAAACAAAACAAATAATTCCTGGGACATACATACTTCCTTTTAAAAATTGTAAATCTACCGATGTTTTAGTTTTTCCGTCAAATATTTCATTAATGTACATACACACATTAATATATTATTATCTTTAAAGATATTATCAGTTTTCAAGAACTGAAATATTATGTTTATGAATTAAATTACCATGAACTAATATATCTAACTTGGATGTTATTTGTTGTTTTTTAATTCTTTTAATAAAAATGTATGTTCCGGACACTTGTTATGCTCCTAGTTACAAAATCGGTGAAATCACCCATATATGTTGTCTATATCACATACAGCTACTATATCCCGAACTAATGTAAGTAGGTTATATATTTCATACACCGCTGATTGCAAATGTAGATAAGGTCTTCAGTTTCAAGTTATGTTATGTTTTTCTTTCAGTTTGGTATGGAGTTTCCTCGGGTTTCGCGTTGTTAGCAATGTGAGCAATGCGATTCGTGCTTTGGGAGACTTTTCATCAGTTTTCCGGAATCGGCAGAGTGTCGACGGAGAGCTTTGTGCCAAGGTACTGATTTCTGTAGACTGATATAGCACAGTTCTTTTTACACAGTCTGGTGTGCTCGAACCATCACATAGAAATAAGTGCGGAAGAGACGATGTACAGCTCTGTCGTTTCATCGATAAGCTAGATCATGGTAGATCTATGTGAAATTGTTACTGATAATTCAAAGTAAATATGTTTTAAGGATTTTTGTTGTTGTGAAGACAACACACGGGGATTCGAACAAATGTAAGGATGAGGGCCCCAAGCGGAGAGCCGCGATGGGATCTGACAGTCACGGCACTCTTGTGACGAAGCTATGGATTTAGAGTTACCTCCCTCCGAGGTACTGCCTGCAGGTGGCGTTGAGAACTGTAATGGCGGCTTTGGGGTTTGATCTCAGGATTCAACCATCTTAATTTGTCCCTTTCTTTCGTACAACAATTATATTTGTTCATTTCAAGATGGCATTGGAAGTTGACACTCATGCAAGCTCGCGGCGAAAAGCAGTTAAGGTTGCTGTCGCTGCGCTTTCTTACGAAGTTGGATTTGGAGAAGCTGAAGACATGGCTGTAGAAACTCTCCGAGAGATGTTACAGAGTTGTACGTCTTTTTATATACGTCAAAATGACAGTTTACGGGGGGCATCTATATGGCATTATGTGGCGGCCTATGGCTGATTCTTCCCTGACCTCACGTGTCTCTTGAAGTCATCAGAGCCGCTATTAAATATGTTCGCCACTGTTTTCATTCAAGGATCCAATCGCTAAGGATTGAGTTGGGAGTAACCTTCGCTATCCGTAACACAACTCATACTGCACGTGCAAATATTTATTTTTCTATACAAAATCTTGAGATATATCTATTTTTTTTATGATTCTATTGGGTAGCGAACATAATCTCACCAACTCCTATTAACTATCCCGACGGTTAGTTAGGCACCCTTTGCCGAAATAGCCCCCCTTTACCATTGTTTACTATCCTGAGGGTCAGTCACACCAGGACCACTGCATTTAACTTGGCGTACGTTTTTGGTTTTCATTTAGTACATTAAGTAGGATGGAACACGCATATGCCTGGTTGAAGCTAAGCAAACGAGACTACATGCTCGATCAGAAATAGTTCATGCTTGTTTACCAAGTGATCAGCGCCTTTTTGTTTACTTTGATGCACATACTCAGTTGCTATTTCTCAGTGAAACTCAAAACTTGATAAATAATGTACAGATTTTCATCAAATTATATCAGATTAATTTGTACCGAGAGATAGTTAACCCGTACTATAACTCACAACTAACGCAAGGGGTGCCCAACCCTAAAGATTGTGAGGGGGTGTTTGATCAGAGTGTACCAAACCCTAATGATTGTAAAGTAATGCTTGTATGGAGAGGGGATAGAGATGGGCGTTACCTACCTTAGCTCTAATACAACTAACTCTAAGGATTGAAGAGGCAGGTCAATGAAGCAAGAGCCACAGCCGGCATCCTGCGCCATTTAGCGCTATAAGCTACACCCAGTAAACTGCAGTTTTGCCAGCACCCCTTTACTATTCTCTTTGCAGAGTTGCATCGCTTTGGCATGCCTGAAACCTATGGTTATTGGTTCAAATCCTGGTTTGTCTGGTTTCTAGCTTTGTCAATTGTGCTTGTGCCATACCCATACTCGTGGGTTTCACCAAAGGGATAAATGTCTGTGACCTGCATCACTTCGGGATTACCTCCCACATCAAGTTGACATGCCGTGATATTACTGGAGTACTGTTTACCCCCGGCGTTTAACCCAACTCACTAACTTTACTAACGTCAAACAATCACCCCTTTCCAATCCTTGGGGGTAAGTTGTGAATTAAGGTGGATTATTGGCTAAAATAGACCCCCAGCAACCTATGCTAAGAGGTGACTCAATGGATGGGGTGACTTCGGCATTGATTGGAGGACCCTTACCTTATGACCAGTAACTTTCAATAGGGACTGAATGGTGTCTACATTGATTGATTTGCAATGTCAGTGATGTGTGTATTTTCCTGATTATCACGATTATATTAACACATCTATTTTTTTAAAAACAAAGTTTTGACAGAGGTTGGGCGCAGTGCAAGAGCATACACCGAACTGGCTGGGAGAACGGAGTCAATGCTCAGTGATGTTGTCATGGCCCTGGTTGACATGGGTAATTGTCTTTTCTTGGATGGATTGATATGGTTTGTCTGTTAACTGTGAAACTGAGTCTTAAGTATATATATTACCTTGATTTCAATTTATGTACTACTATTATCTATTTGGATATACATGATAGATTATAATGATTTCTGTTTATCATAATCAGATTTAAGATTGCTTTATTCTGTGTTCAGGTGTAAAAGTAGATGCAATTCCTGCCCATGCCAAGAGGTACAACAAATCCATCTTCATTCCACGTAAGTTATTTTCATAATCAAATTCCTATTAGAGTTTCCAGTAGAGGCGCAGGTGGCCCGGTCATCAAAGGCGATGCAAATCATTGTGCAGGGTTTCATCCGTTGGGCGGCTAGAATCATATGCTCATGGATTTATATTCTAGATTCAACAATATTATGATTCATGGTATATTGTTTCCTTACCCTTGATCATGGGTTTCACCAAAGTGGTAATCATCTAAGACCTGCATCACTTAGCGTTATCCTCCTAAATCAAGCAGGACTAGAACTAAACTCAAAAGTTTTACTAGCCCAGGTAAATATAAATTGGCCTTGTAATGTTAAAACAATGGTGAAATTGGGAAATTTGTACTAGCCCACAGGAATTTGCGCTGGCCCTGGGCTAAAGGGCTAGTGTTAATTTCTAACCCTGGAAATACTGGTTAAAGAAGTGTTAAACCAAACAGATTCACCCTTTGTTACTGATTTGTCCTTTCAGCAACACCAAGCACCCCTAGTCCTACACTACCCACTCTGCAGACTGGAGACAAGAAGGCACACCCCTCACACATACCAGACTTTCTGCCGCCCTTTCCGGATCCACATACATACATTAGAACTTTGGTAAAGACTGGAATGTGTTTTATGTCTTGTATTACAGAATATATGTGAAACCTAGGTGTGTATACCATGTATACCGGAACTGGAAATCCATAAAAAAATATGATGCTTTTCTGATTTTTTTCTCCACTTTAAATTTTTTATTTAAGGATCTGCAGAATCAGTAAACTGAATTGTGTGAAATATTTCGTTTTAGTTTCCTATCATTCATGGTTCCTGCAAAGTAAATCTCCTATTTCATATTCGAGAATGACTATAAACAACAAAAAATGCATGTTCTTTTGTTCTAGACACACAAACAGCCAAGCAATGAATACCAGTTGATCCGAGAGAAAGCAGCATCCCAGAAAAGAGATGTGGAGAGAGCGCTCACTCGCTTTATTGCCAAGACAGGAGAGACGCAGAGTTTATTTTCAGATGATATGGCAGCCTACCCATGTAAGTCTCCCATCCAGCCTGCCTGGCGTTAGTATAGGGAGGTCCTTGCCTCTTGATCATGTGGAGAGATTGCTGCTGTCTCAATCAAGAAACACCTTAAATTTGTATCTATTAAGACAAGGGTTATGACAATGACACCTGAACTTTCATGCTTCATTTCCAACACTGCTATTATGTCAGTCTTCAGTTTAGTCTGTTTGTCCGGAAGAGTAAGTCCCTGTTCACTCTGTTCCTTGTTTAATATCCATAGTTGATGTTTTCTAAGTAACCGTATTAAGTTTTGTATTTTGTAGATCTGCCAATAACGACTTATATAAAAGGAATGTTTTAATGATACTAAACAGTTGGGATTAAGACGATTCCTGTGTCTGTATTCTAGTGATTGCAGTGAAACCTTCCCCCCGTGCATATCTTAATGCTCTCCTCCCTAAGGATCAGGATTTGGATGCTCAGGAGCCAGTGGAGACACAACAAGCTGTGTCTAAACGCCAGAGAGAGGCTCGAGATGGTCAGTCTGGGTCTGACGCACAGACAGACACACCTGTAGAATCCACATCCTTCTCTCAGCTACTCTCACAAGATTCGGTTGACTCTGATACCATAGACAATCCATACCTTCGTCCAGTCAAATTTCCAAAGAAGAGGCGACGGTGATCTCAAAGTAGAAAGATCATGCTCAATGTCAAGATGTGAGAATAGAGGCTGGGTCACAGATTCTAGACTTCAGTGACTTCAGTGACTTCAGCAAGGTCAAGGACAGATTGGAGGATGGTTCACAAGATTCTTGATATCTTTTACCCAGATGAAATCATTTTGTTTTGAAGGTCTTGAATGTTAGTGGTTCTGCAACTCTGAGACACTGTTATCAGTTTTCCTGTTTGGCGCAAATGCTACTGTTTAGTGTTACATGTGAAGAAAATGACTCAGGGGGAAAACTTTTGATAAAATATTTGAGGTAAGCTGTGTTTCACTACCAATCAGCTCGACAGGGGCAAGTAACCAAGCACCCCAGACACCTGCTTGTGGTGCACATTATGATGGCTGAAAAAGGCCATCTGGGGCCAACACTTTGTCAGGCATCTGCATTACACTACAGATCAGTCCTTGTGTGTGTGCATTCATCCTGACACCTTGGTCACCTTGGATGATAATCAACATGATCACTGGCTGCTAGGGTGGCACAGGTGGCCCTGTCGTCTTAAGACGATGCAATTTGCTGTGTAGAGTTCATCTCTTTGGCATGCCAGAAACCTATGATTGTCGGTTCTGATTATGTTTCTGTGTCCATGGGTTTCACCAAACTGGTAAAGGTACTTCTCCTAGGTAAGGGTGAGTTATGTCTCATATTGAAAAAACAAATCACAAAATTTAATATGAAACAAAATACTGAAATATTATATATCTAATCAAGTAGGTTTCAAACACAACAAAAACATTATATTGCAAGCTATACCTTTTAATATTTATATGCAAATTGTTATGTACAAACGAAACAAGATATTTACATCAAATGTAGAAAACGATTTCGTACTTTGCATTTGTATAATGAGAGATGAAGGTTTATAATACAAACTCATTGTATTATGTACTACAGATTGAAATGCAGAGATGAAACTATATGAAGCTGCCATTTTAAATACAATCATGACAACCAATGTTTGTATGAACATAAAGACATGTTTTATAAGACTGTTTTTTGTTGAGTGTTTAGACTGACATTTCTGTCTTGGATGTGAACTTCCTTTTGTTTTAAGGGCAGAGATGTCTTCAGTTTTATACAATGGAGAGGAGATACATATCAATCCACCCGTGGTTAATGGTGTGCGCAGCCGACATGATATAAGCTCATCTAAGTCTCTCTGATCAGCAATTCCATTCCACTTACCGTAAGAAAGGTAGACAAATGGGAGGGCAGTGTTAAGTATCAGGACGCCTTAGTGAAACATGTTGAGGCAGTCCAATTAAGGAATTCAGTTTTATTTCCTACACCATTGTTCACTGAACTTTCAACTGCTTACAATTGAGTTGCCTATCCTTCAGGTTCTACTGGTAATCCAGGATAAGTTGAACCACCTCACAAAATGTATTGGAGATAAGTAGGCTGTGCACAGAATTTGGGCAAACATATTTGCTTTGTTGCAGGTAGGGAGGGTCTACGCATGTTGTGCACTTGCAAGTTATGACAGTGACATTGACTATGTTGGTCACAAGACAATTAAGAGGTCAGTGTCACAACTTGTTAGCCAAGACAGCACACTAACATATCCATCGAAATACTTGTTGCGGACCACCTGCTACCCCTTTCTTTACAATGGTATGCGCCAGCCGACATAATACAGTCATACAGGGTTAATTGTCAGATCACAACCCAACTTATCCTGGCATATCAGTAATTAGTAGTAAATATTTTTAAACATATGGTCTATCATGATGATGGTCTGATGTTTTTTGTGAAGACATTTAGTTTAGGTCCACATACTACTGTTAAACTATGTTCATGTCATGTGATTTATGTTATCAGTACATCATACTGTCATGACTGTGGCACAGGAAACTTGTCACCATTGATTTATTCTCAGTCTTGCTCAGCCTTTCTGTTTCTTCTTTCTTTTCTCTTCCTGAAATTAAAAACAAGGATGTTTATAATTGTGACACCACATCAAGTACATCAAATTAAGGATGCAAGTTGTAAAGTCAATACATCATCAACATTGATAAAAATGAGTGATGTTTCCGTGAGTTCACATTTCCCAATCAGTATAATGCATCTATATTATATCGTCTTTTCACTACTGAAGACCATTCTGCAAATATAACCCTTCAGTTATACAATACTTGATGCTCTCTCTTAGGATCATCAACTCTACTTAATGAGTGAGTGAGTGAGTATGGTTTTACGCTGCTTTTAGAACTATTCCAGCAATATCACGGCAGGGGACACCAGAAATGGGCTTCATACATTGTACCCATGTTAGGAATCGAACCCGGGTCTTCGACGTGACGAGCGCTACCTGACCGCCTACTGTCTACTGTCTTAATGAAGTGAGGTCAATGGTGAAATTTGAGTAAAACCATGTCGAACATGAAATGCCAAGAACAAATAAACATAATCCAGTTTACAGTCAAGAAAAGAAGTCCAGATTCTCTTTATGTTTCTCAATGCATCAGACCAACCTAACACTCCACCATTAAATACCTTACCATCAGTGAGAAAGCAGTCATAAAGCATCATTCCTACCATAAGAAGTTGTGGCAGTTGCTTCAACGCCACCTGGAATTGTGGAACCAGGGGTGATAATGCCTCTTTGTCTATCTCCATCTCCTTGATGCTGGTCTTTCCTGCTTCCTGCACCATCTTTTTGAAGTGATACACCTGCAGGCACACATCAGTGAGTGAGTGAGTTAAAATTTAACGTCACATCGGCAATATTTGAGGCATATCGTGACGAGAAGTTACACATTAATAATACATATATTTAGACTTTATAAAAACGAAGGACAGCACAATAACTAGAATAACACAGATTTTATTTAAACCTAGTTGAGGAACATTAAGAAGCAGAAAGAATGAGTTCACAACACAATATATAAATGGGCTAGTGATCGCCAGTAACTAAAGGGAGATCACCATACAGGGACCACAGGGACTTACAGGTTACACATCAGGCTTTTGTCAGACCATACAAAAACATGCAGCCAAAGGTTTCTTATTGCTCATGGCTAGATATACATCTTTTATTGGTTTCCATCATCTCAAAGTATGAAATTTGCTAAAGGGGCTCTAATCTACCCAGCTGTCTAACACTGCCAGCTAGGGTTCACTAGCTGCTGTGTGTCGATTTGCTCGCTAACTCAACTAAGTGTGACAAGGGACTGGGCTACCGTCTGTGAGGACAGCGTAAATAAAAGTTGAGGCAATATCCATGATATCTATACGCATTTCTAAACATTGATTGGGTACCCGTGATCTATGAAGATTTTGATATTACGAGCCTTTTCATTTGTAGGAGTGTATAGGTTACAGTCAATGTGTAAAATGTGATTCACTTATTTTGACAATTTATAAAATGTCTAAATATTTCAGTCATTTTACAAACTGACTGAAAAATCTAAAGACTAAAGCTACCCTTGCATCCTCAGTAGTGGTACATCCCTATTAAGCATCTAAGACCCCTTACCTCCTTATTCTCCAGGAAGGTCAAGGCTGTTCCCACTTTGCCGGCCCGAGCTGTCCGACCAACACGGTGGATGTATGTCTTGATGTGGGTCGTGGTGTCGTATGAGATGACATACTTGACATTCTCTACATCCATACCACGAGCCATCGCATCGGAGCAGATTAGTCTAAATGACACAAACAGTCTCATGTTGGAGATGGTCTTAGCATGTGTACGGTTTAATGCAGCTTCCTAGTGAGATGGACAAGACTGTTTTAGATTTGTTTTAGAACCAATCAGCTTGGGCTGGTACAATACACAAAATCAGGACACAATAAATAAATTGCAAGTGATACTTGATTGGCTAACCAAGCAATTTCTTTTGTGTTTCCATAAACTGAAAAATTTAGGCAATGCCCACTAACATACTTCTGTTTCCTGATTGGCTGATTATAGAATAGTAAAAACAGTTTGAACACTTGATGCACCGAAATTTAGTGCACAGCCACAACTTTGGTAACTTAACAAACCAACAGATATGTAACATATACTTTTGTATTGATAGGTTAACTGACGACAGTTGTATAGAAACTTGATGTACCATGATGCATCAATGGAAAGTTGTTTGAAGTATACTGGTATACAAAGTATACAGTGATCAAGTCCTGTGTATCTACACATCATGGTAGTGATGATGACTTACAGGTCCACCTTGTTGGCGGAGAAGTCATTGATCATCCTGTTCCTCTTGTTGGCAGAGAGACTGGAGGAGTATTCCTGTACCCGCACACCGCCAAACTCCTTCACCAGCAGGTACAACCTGATACACACAGCATAATCATTGCACTACCAGTTTAACCAGTTTTGGGACAAGCATAAGTATTTGGGTCCCTAATAACTTTTGACATTTGAAGTTGGGTATTTTTCTGATCAAATAAAATAGAGAGCAATCGTGCAAAGTAAATTATATTTGTTCTTAGTGTATTTTCTGATTGTGGCTCTTGGCGCCAGTCTTGTCAGTCAAAAACCTTGTTGCCTGATAAATACATTAAACAACTGCAGCCAAATTACTTGAGCTGTAGTTACAGTTGTTGAAGTTCCTATATGGCTTACCTGTGTGTGGCTTCCCGGGAGTTGGTGAAGCAGAGCACATGGCGGAACTTGAGCTGGTGTAGGAAGTGGAGGATGACAAGAGGCTTCTCTGCCCCTGACACACGCAGGTAATACTCCTGTAAACACAAGGTCAAGGTCAGCAGAAACCCAGGACTAACCCATCAACCCCGGATAACCCAGCAACCCAGGACTAACCCATCAACCCAGGATAACCCATCAACCCAGGACTACCCCAACAACCCAGGACTAACCTATGAACCCAGGATTACCCCAACAACCCAGGACTAACCCATGAACCCAGGACTAACCTATGAACCCAGGATTTCCCCAACAACCCAGGACTAACCCATCAACCCCGGATAACCCAGCAACCCAGGACTAACCCATGAACCCAGGATAACCCATGAACCCAGGATAACCCAGCAACCCAGGACTACCCCAACAACCCAGGACTAACCCTTCAACCCAGGACTAGCCCATGAACCCAGGACTTACCCAGGGCTAACCCATCAACCCAGGCTAACCCATCAACCCCGGATAACCCATCAACCCAGGACTAACCCATCAACCCAGGACTAACCTATGAACCCAGGATTACCCCAACAACCCAGGACTAACCCATCAACCCCGCATAACCCAGCAACCCAGGACTAACCCATCAACCCAGGATAACCCAGCAACCCAGGACTACCCCAACAACCCAGGACTAACCCTTCAACCCAGGACTAGCCCATGAACCCAGGACTTACCCAGGGCTAACCCATCAACCCAGGATAACCCATCAACCCAGGATAACCCATCAACCCAGGACTAACCCATCAACCCAGGACTAACTCAACAACCCAGGACTATCCCATCAACCCAGGACTAACCTATGAACCCAGGACTAACTCAACAACCCAGGACTAACCCATCAACCCAGGACTAACTCAACAACCCAGGACTATCCCATCAACCCAGGACTAACCTATCAACCCAGGATTACCCCAACAACCCAGGACTAACCCAACAACCCAGGACTAACCCATCAACCCAGGACTAACCCAACAACCCAACAACCCAGGACTAACCCATCAACCCAGGACTACCCCATCAACCCAGGACTAACCCAGCAACCCAGGACTAACCCAGCAACCCAGGACTAACCAATCAACCCTGGACTAACCCAGCAACCCCGGACTAACCCATCAACCCAGGATAACCCATCAACCCAGGATAACCCATCAACCCAGGACTACCCCAACAACCCAGGACTAACCCTTCAACCCAGGACTAACCCAGCAACCCAGGACTACCCCAACAACCCAGGACTAACCCAACAACCCAGGACTAACCCATCAACCCCGGACTAACCCAACAACCAAGAACTAAACCATCAACCCAGGACTAACCCATGAACCCAGGACTACCCCAACAACCCAGGACTAACCCAACAACCCAGGACTAACCCATCAACCCAGGACTAACCCATCAACCCAGGATAACCCAGCAACCCAGGATAACCCAGCAACCCAGGACTACCCCAACAACCCAGGACTACCCCTTCAACCCAGGACTAACCCATGAACCCAGGACTACCCCAACAACCCAGGACTAACCCAACAACCCAGGGCTAACCCATCAACCCCGGACTGACCCAACAACCAAGAACTAAACCATGAACCCAGGACTAACCCATGAACCCAGGACTACCCCAACAACCCAGGACTACCCTATCAACCCAGGACTAACCAAGCAACCCAGGGCTAACCCATCAACCCCGGATAACCCATCAACCCCAGACTAACCCAACAACCAAGAACTAAACCATCAACCCAGGACTAACCCATGAACCCAGGACTACCCCAACAACCCAGGACTACCCCATCAACCCAGGACTAACCCAGCAACCCCGGATAACCCATCAACCCAGGACTAACCCAGGACTAACCCATCAACCCAGGAGTAACCCAACAACCCAGGAGTAACCCATCAACCCAGGACTAACCCATCAACCCCGGATAACCCATCAACCCCGGATAACCCATCAACCCAGGACTAACCAATCAACCCAGGACTAACCCAGGACTAACCCATCAACCCAGGACTAACCCAACAACCAAGGAGTAACCCAACAACCCAGGAGTAACCCATCAACCCAGGACTAACCCATCAACCCCGGATAACCCATCAACCCCGGATAACCCATCAACCCAGGACTAACCCATCAACCCAGGACTAACCCAGGACTAACCCATCAACCCAGGACTAACCCAACAACCAAGGAGTAACCCAACAACCCAGGAGTAACCCATCAACCGAAGATTAACCCATGAACCCAGGACTAACCCAATAACCCAGGACTAACCCATCAACCAAGGACTAACCCATGAACCCAGGACTAGCCCATCAGCCCAGGACTAACCCATCAGCCCAGGACTATCTTCTGCAACACTGCCTCAAGGTGTGTACATCAACCAGAACAGCCCACCAGCCCAGTACTACTAATGTGGGCTTCACCAATAGATTCAAATGGGTGCTCAGTCCTTTGCATGATGTGAAATGAAATTTTAGTATAAAGATTGTGACAAAGTCCACTTGACTTTAATCCATATGTTCAGACACCAGTGTGTATAACAATCTTACTGTCAATCCCATGGGTGTGGTGAACTTGCCAATAAACTCTCCTCTGGGGGCTGCCATGTCTGAGGTCTCGTTCTCATCTATTGAAACAAAAGTATTGGAGATTCTGTATGTGATGTATTGCATACCAGGGAAAATAAATTGATCCAAAGATGAATTCTCACGAAAGACTATACCTTATCAATGTAACTGGGTTAAGATTTTGAATGTTTCATCACAAAATAATAATAATAATAATAAAAAAAAACTTCAGACAGATCAGAAAATTTCGTTTTAAAAACATGTATGGTCTTCTTATTGATGCACTGCACATACGGTATACATGATATATACCTTGTACAGTATAAGTATAAATTAAAACCTCAGACCAAAGATAGTCATTCCTGACCTGCTATCTGTTACTTACACCTACCTCTATCCTGTTCTCCACCCCCTGTAAGAGCTCGACCAACCCTCTTCTCCTCATCCAGTGTCACCTTGACAACAGAGGTAAACAATCGAGGCTGGAACAGTTTTAAGTGTTGCAGCTTCTCCGGGTTTTGGGACAACGTCGCGGAAAACAACAACTTCTGCAGCTGGAATATCAACAACAGAGGACGTTTAACAAGAGGGACGTGAAAATCCATGGTAGAATAGGTCTTCAGCAACCCATGCTTACCATAAAAAGCGACTATGCTTGTTGTAAAAGGTGGCTAACGGGATTGGGTGGTCAGGTTCGCTGACTTGGTTGATACTTGTCATCCTATCCCAATTGCATTGATTGATGCTTATGATGTCAATCACTGGATTGTCTGGTCCAGACTCGATTATTTTACAGACCGCCGTCATATAGCTGGAATATTGCTGAGTGCGGCGTTAAACAACAAACAAACAAACAAACTTGTCATCTGTGACAAACTGAGTCATTTTAAATTAAGGTTACTGATATCCAGTAATTCATGTAGTTGTATTTGTTATAGTTTGTACCTCATATGGGCCTGCCTTGTTCTGGAGCTTTTAATCAAATTTGCTAGATCAGCTACCGTAATTAGCCTAACCTTTGATCCACTTTAGCTATCTAAAGTTCGTTTGTTTGTTTGTTGTTTTACGCCGCACTCAGCAATATTCCAGCTATATGATGGCGGTCTGTAAATAATCGAGTCTGGACCAGACAATCCAGTGATTGACATCATGAGCATCAATCCGCGCAATTGGGATCAATGACATGTATCAACCAAGTCAGCAGCTATCTAAAGAGCAACCACTGCAGTTTGTAGAATCAGCATGATCATGGAGAACATAACAGGTGCAGTTTTTTCCTGATTGATCAAACTATGATTAAAATGGTTCTGTGCGCACCACAGTAACATATAAGATAAAAATTACGTAGATGAATATAATAAATATAACAGCTTCTGACAAAATGTAGAAACTGGCACTGCTGTCGTGTACTTACAGGAATCTGCAGTCTTGAACAACTGAAAAGAGATCAAAACAAAATAATTAATTCAACTTATTGATACTCCATGGTCAGAGTGAGTGACTGAATAGGGACACCACTGCAGAACTAGAAATTAATCATGTCATTGTTAAAGTCAGGTCACAAGCATATAAAAATGAGGGCCTACTGTGTCCTGGCCCTTGTTCTATGAAGCAATCTAGCTCTAAGGATATCGCAACTCCCATACTTCAACATAGGCTTGCGATCATTGTAACGCTAAGATCGCTTTGTGGAACAGTGCCCTGGACGTTGTTCCCTAAAGTGATCTTACCACTTTAACATAGTGTTTGAAGTTAAAAATATTGTCAGGCTTCCATTAAGACCCGCAGAATTTAATAGCTGCAGACCCTGACTAAACACTTCAGGCCCTCATTTAAAAAAAGGCAGCTTATTGTTACAAAGAAATGGACACATAAACTTCCTGCAGGCCATAAGGAACAATACACAATTCAAATTACAGGCCTGATACAAGATCAACCTGCCACGGGCCTACGAGCAGGCGCATATTTCGAACACTGGTTATAGCACTAATACTGCTGATGAACACAAAGCCAGTCGAATGTGCCATCATGAGTGAATAAGGTGAGGTGAGGTGAGGTGAGGTGAGGTGAGGTGAGGTGAAATGGGGTTTAACGTCGCGTCCAAGATTATTGCACTTAAATAGTGACGTGCATGCACGTGTGTGTGTGTGTGTGGCTGCTTGTACTAGTCCGGACTGATGCCAATTTATAGTGCAAGCTCACTGAGATACCATGCCGCAGTTTAACATGAATACCCCACTCAGACAAAGTATACTGACTCTGAGCCGACCAGTCCTTGTTTTAGCCCCTTAATGCAGAGTGCCAGACAGGGTAACAACAAGTACCATCTTTTAACGTCTTTTTGTATGACACGTTTGGGGATCGAACCCCCGGACCTTCCGGTCTCTGGGCGGACGCTCTACCATTAGACCACGGAGGCGGTCAATATACTGCTGATGAACACAATATTAGTTGAATGTGCCATCATGAGTGAATAAGGAGACACCACCTGTACACTGTGTTTTGTTCAGTGAATTACTACATGAGTTGACTATTTCCTACAAGTGTTTTCAAGATTAACATGAAACTAAACCCGTTACCCACATACTTAATAACATACTACACCATAGTATTAACTTTGATAATCATCTTGAAGTCCTTACTTTGCAACTGTCAGAGGTCCTGGGATTTCCCTGGAGCTAGAGCCTTGTTGACAGCCATCTTGGTGGTAGACAGCACCCTCTAGTATGCTTAACCAGTCCTGCTTTATTTCGTCCATCATTCGGTCAGCCTCATCTATAACCTATAATCAGGATAATACATGTGACAAGTTTTAAAAAGTGACAAAAAAAACCCCATTATTTTTATTACTATTGTTATCTACTAGTATTAATGTTCATTCACAAGCACGATAAAGCCACATCTGTTTTTCTAGCTAACCAAAAGCATGATGATGCTCCACAGTCTGGTGCCATGTTCCAGTCTTCGTCTATATATTGTAATTAGTGACGTGTGAAACTGAGACATTGCGTCTGTGCAGTTGTTACTAGGGTATTGACTGGGATATATCAGCATGGTTGATCAAAATTATGAAACTTGCTTTAACAGATAAAGACAAAGGTGTTTGAGTATCCTGAATCTAATCTTCTATGATTGGCAAATACCAGTAGTTGACCCAAGCCCCCTTTCGGGTAACTTTTAGAGCCTGTTTTGCAACCACTACCGGTAACTCCCCTGATAATGGTCCAAAAGCTCTGGAAATAGTGATAGGTCAAACTGTACCTTACCTAAGACAGGCTTATGTACTTACAAATATTAGGTAGCTATATTTGTCGGAATTGACCTACATTTTGGCTATTCTGCCGTGAAAACAATACTTTTGGGAACACACTTTACAGCCAAGGCTTGTTTGCAACTTAGGATTCATAAGTCCAACCTACCAAAAATCTCAGCTGAGAAAGATCAAAGCCTTCTGTGTTTGTGATGTGGTCCACAAGTCGTCCTGGTGTTGCCACGACGATATCCACTAAGCTTATGTGACCACGCAATCTGCATAGACATTTGGTGGAAAGTTATGAAATTGCAAGACATAGTACACAGAAAGAATATTTATGGAATAATTAACTACCTAATTTCACAACTAGTAAATGGCTAAATTACAATCAAGACGTTGCCTACATAGTTTCCTTTTTTATGTGCAGAAATTCATATCAGAAAAGTCAAGGCAACACCACACTGAACACATATTGAAGTTAATCAATCTGGCAAACATGCCCTGCTTCAAATCATTTTTAAAATTTGGGTTGTGGGAGTGGGTTGAATGTTGTGCCACTTTTGGCATTATTCAAGTCATACCAAGAGGGACACTTCAATGGGCTTCACACATTGTACCCAGGATTGGAATCAAACTTGGGTCTTCAGCATGAGGAGGGGAGCTTTAACTAACAGGCTACCCCACCACCCCATATTACTAAGTGAACTTATCACTGACTACTGGTATAAGTTGCATATCATAGGTGAATTCAGAGGGGACCCACCCCCTTTGAAAACCATATGCAGTATGTTGTAGGAAGTAAAATTATCTGAGAGAGGATATTTTGGACCTGTCCCTTTTAAAAATGCTGGATCCACTCTTGCATATTAGCAAGATTGGTTGGTTGGTTGGTTTTATGCCGCACTCAGCAATATTACAGCTATATGACGGTGGTCTGTAAATAATCAAGTCGGGACCAGACAATCAAGTGATTGATATCGTGAGCATCGATCCACGCAAATGGGATACGACGACATGCATCAACCAAGTCAGCGATCCTGACCACCCGATCCCGTTAGTTGCCTCTTACGACAAACATAGTCGCCTTTTACGGTAAGCATGGGATGCTGAAGACCTATTCTACACCGGATCTTCACGGGTCGCATATCAGCAAGAGGTAAACATGGTAAAATTCTTGAATACACAGAATATGAAGGTTCATACCAGTTGTTCAATTACAAATACAACTTATATTTTACAACTGTGAGCATGTTTGGAGTATGTTATGATGACACTAGAGGAGGGTGCTAACAATGTTAGCATTCACCGGCTCATTGTACTTACTTTTTCATGACAAGAGTCTGTTGTTCACTGACAAGAGTCTTCTGACCAACAGCTAGCCCCACCTGTCACAAACACTAGTGTTGTCATTACAACACTCAATTGGATAGATTCTGAGTGCTCAAAGGCTACATTTGTAGATGGTTCATGGTCATAAGCATATTTGATTGTACTATATAATATATTTGCCAATAAAGATAAAAACAATAGAAGATATATGGTTTGTCATCAATAGTCATGTCTCAAGCCTGTGTATGTGCTAAAAGATCCATTAACACACAGCTACTGTCATTATCAGCATGATCAAGTAATGAAGTATTTGAAACAGTACCGGGGTAATATCTACACTCCATCACTTTCACTGAATGCATTCATGGTAGGAAATGCAAGAACACCATTTTTCAAAATGACTTCATATTTTCATCATCTACTCAATAATATGTTTCATTTAATGACTATCAACAACAAGAATCCTTTAGACTTTTGGGGATATCCCTCTATGTTTTCTGCATTCCATTCCACTCTTGGCCAACACTTGTCCACCAGCACTGAAGTCGCCCCAGTGTAACCACAGCTGACATCTAGGTTCCCCCTACCTTGAGCTCTGTGCCATGGACATAGGCCAGGAACACCTTGTAGACCTGGACAGCCAGATCCTTCACCGGCAGCACCACCACAGCCCGTACTCTGCGGACCACTCTTGGTTTCAGGGCCTTCAATAAAGTTAGGGGTGTCACTGATTGGAACTTTTAGTATTGATATATTGACTCAAAAGTATCAATGATATATCAATTTTTAACAAAATTAGTTGTTCTATCTATAGATATCTATAGATAAAACTTTCCTATCTAGATCTGCCATTAGTGAACTTATTGTTAAATATGACCTAGACTTATCCTTTAAATGTTTAAAATTTAATTTCCTGCCTTTTTATTGTCCATTTTAACCATGGTATTCTTAAAAAATGTAAGTGTTTCTGTGGCAATGAATTATTAATTTAGTATTGATATTCATAAATATGTATCAATAAAGTATCAACATTAAAAACGTATTGAAACTTTGATATACCAGTTCTACTGATTACCAGTAACACTGCAGTTCCAGTTCAATCATACTTGCACACAGTTTTATCAAAATACATATTTATAGATGTGCTGTACAATTATAGTTTGTGTGTTTTGTTCTTTAATGTATGCCTCACTCAACAATATTCCGGCTATATGACAAAGGGAGTCTGGAGGAGACATTATGAGCAATGTCTCATTTCGTCAGGGTACGAACTAAGTCAGCAAAGTTGATCACAACATCCATTTGGTGCCTCTTATGACAGACAGACATAGGGTGTAATAATATATTGTTATACTTTCAGCAACTCTGTGTGAATCCCAATTCAGCATACCTCCCAAGTGACTCATATTTGTCTTGAGACACTATTAAAATGAGGAGGTCACTGAGATCAGGCTGTGTGACTCAGCAGAGATTGTTTGTCATCATACCCTGATGACTTAAGACGTTGATTATGCTATCAATCACTGGTTTCACTTGCCCAGGCAGCTGTAATGTAACTGTAAGAATGCTGGCCACAAGATACATTAAATGAAAAAAAAGTGCTAGCCAGAGGGTATAAAAGACTCAGATAATTGTTGGTCTGGAGAAATATTACTAAAAAAACCCTGCAGCTTATTGTGACAAATAAATCAACAGATAAATTTTCTGCAGGCCGAAAGGACCCATACAAATTTGAAACTGCAGGCCCAACACAGTATCTACCTGCCATGGGCCTATGGGCAAGCGCATTTTGAACTCTGAACAAAACACCTACCTGCACAATGGGGAGTACAAAAGCCAGTGTCTTCCCGCTTCCTGTTGGTGCTGACACACAAATGTCATTAGGTCGATATCCACCTGACCCAACCAGCCAGCCATGCTTGATGACCTTGAGGACTTGAGGAATGACCTGCATCTGCACTGAGTGAACAGAACAACTTTAAGTTTTTTTAGTTTTCTGATGGACTGATGTTGCAAATATTGAGAGATTTTATCAGTGTTCAACATGTGTTCAATACTTTCTTGAGAAATATAGAATGTGGGACACCAGGGTAGGTGGGCCACCTGTGATCCTATCATGCCTATAGAATCTGAATCAGTACATAGTACATGACATACGTCATCCAATTTGGTACTACTGATTATTTAGCAAAAATAAAGTAAACTGGAGAGTTAAAAAAATAAATACAAAAGTCCTGTCAGCCTTGGCTGCCAGATGTTTCACATTTTATGACTGAGGAAAACATGAACATGACAAAAAATCGATTCATGCTGGACCTCGAAATGATTGAAAGACATTTCCATCAGTGCTGCACACTCTCAAATTGTTTAAAAATCAAACTTTAGATTTAAGAATGCATATACATGTATGTGAATACAGAATAATAGAAGTTGTTTTTGTTTTTTTGATTACCTGGGAAGAAATGGGATATTTTGTTCTCAGCAAGCCTCTCCACCAGGAGTGGATCTAAGCCAACCATCTCGTTGATAGGAAGACGTTTGTGTCTCAAGTCTGCACTGATGACATCGGGACTAGCCAGCCAATCAGGCAATACTCGCAGTACCTGCAACCATGGTAACCAATATGTTATGTGTGGTAAAACCTGTGTGATCTGCTTGGAACATTACCTTCAATATCTTACACCATCTGTGTGGCCAAACACGATATATGCTTAGTATTCAATACATGTTTAAGTGAAACAGGAAATAGCAGTCAGTGCTAAAACCTTTGAGTCTGCCAGCCGAAAAGGGTTCTTAGAAGCATTTTCAGTAGATCTTAGTGTTGTTAGATAAAGCTGTATATGCTACTTATTTCTAAGTCAGTTTTATGCTTACTACCAATCTACATAGAAACAAAATATGTGTACAATGCCTAGACCTAGACTAAAAATAGGAAAACAGCCTAGTTCTTCTTTATATCAATGACCTGTGAAATATAAAACAAAAAAAACAAAAATGAACTAACTTGCTCTTTCTCTTTCTTCTTGAAATCTCCAAGTACAGTGAATCCTCCAATTTCCTGCCCTCCTTCCCCCAATGTCACCATGGTAACAGGATCAGCTTCCATCTTGTCTTGCTCCTCATCTTCTCCATCTGTAGCCGCTGCCTCCTCCTCAACTGTAGTCTTATCCTTATTTGTTTCACCCTCTAGATTACTCACTGACACATCAGAATCACTACCCTTCTCTTCCTTACTCGATCTTTTCCTTTTCTTTTTGTGTTTCCTTGTTATGTGTAGCTTGTCATCATTGTCATCATCTGATAATTCTTTACTTTTCTTCTTTTTCTTTTTATGTTTTGATGTTGAGTCTGTTTCATCAAGAATATCATGCTCAGAATGATCCGTATCTTTATCCCTTTTCTTCTTCTTCTTTTTTTTCACCACATCGTCTTCTTGTTGTGTTTCACTATCTCTGTGTTTCCGTTTTCCCTTAGCACTGACATTGTCATCCTCTAATGCTTTATTCCGCTGTCTTGCCTCTGCCTGTGCCTGGAGTCGGGCTAGAATGTCCTGGGCTTTGTCTGTTGTTTCATGTTCTTCTTCATCACCTTCATCTCCCATGAACCTGAAACATTCAGTGACGGTATCAGACAAAAGTTAAATCATAATATTAGCGACAATGTGAAGCCATGATTACATGATTTTGACCTCACGAAAAGTAAACAGGGTGGTATCGGGGTTGGGGGAAAGATTACAGTAGATATCACAATAATTACAGAGAAATGAGACAGGCATGTGTCAGTATGGTATTGTCTGAGATATAAGGTCTTCAATAGCTATTCTTCAAGTGTTTTACTGTGACAGGTGATAACTTGAGTTTTTTTTATTTTCAGGAATTGTCAAGTATTGTCTGATATAATTTCAAAAATGGACATGAATAGTATGTATCATAGATAATCTATGACCTTTTTTATGTCCCAGGAAAGTATTAAAAGGTGTGTGTGTGTGTGTGTGTGTGTGTGTGTGTGTGTGTGTGTGTGTGTGTGTTCTGTTAGTACAATAAATGCAGGTCTCTCATAAGTTCAATTAGATATATTTACAGATAGGGCCGTTAAGCTGAGACAAAAATATATTCAAACTCTTTGCCAAAGTCACCATGTCACGTTTTACCAGTTCCACATGTCTGTCATAAGAGCTGACCAATGTGGATCGAGTTATTTTAATTTGTCACCTGACTGATTATCATGATTATATGTCATCATACCTCATGCTATCTTGTTTGTTTGTTGTTTACCACCACACTCAGCAATATTCCAGCAATATGATGGCGGTCTGTTAAAAATCGTGTCTGGACCAGCTAATCCAGTGACTGATATCATGAGCATCGATCCATGCAATTGGGATATATGATGACATGCATCAACCAAGTCAGCAAGTCTGACAACCCGATCCCGTTAGTTGCCTCTTATGACAAACATGGATTGCTGAAGACAAATCCTAACCCAGATCTTCATTAGGGGTCGGACAATACACCAACTGTGCGATCCGATACGTATCACGATACCTTACTCAGGATTCGATATGTATCACGATACTTGCATGTGCTTTTAGCTGTGGTGTCACTGTGTAAGCCATCTTTTTCAAGTGTGAAGTATGGCACAACAAATGAAAATATGTATGCTTGCACTACTGATAAGTATTTAGTGGAACAGTTATTAAAGCAAACATTTAAGGTCAGAATCAGTATTTTTTACTCAGTGTATGACTGTGATCGATACTTTTGTATCGAGAAGTACAAAATCGCGATCCACTGATACATCGGTGTATCGTCCCTCCACTAATCTTCATGGATGATCATGACTGGTTACAGACTGTTTAGATTCAGGTTAAATTTTGTGGAGTGTGATGTGAAACAACATTTACTTTCTGCCCCACATTAGCAGCTTTAAGCCCAATATTACCTCTCACTTACTACCATCTTTGGCTCATATGGTTGTTGTCCACAAAAGATCATACTGGTTCATACTACAATGTTTTATGTATACCTAGCTGCAGTTACTGCATCCGCTCATGCTTTCCTCATATAACAACCAGGAATGTGAGCAGGTTTCCCCCAAAAAGTGGAATATTTTAAACATTTGATTGCATTTTAAGCAATATTGTGCAGTTTGGACAATATTCACACCAAGAAATGTAACAACTCAATGGCAAAAGTCAACAAGTATTTGTCACAGAGTGACGAAATATCCCCCGCCATATACACCATAGTACCAAATATGAAGACAATCCAGCGATTAGTTCTTGAGATATTGTGGCAACACCGTTTTCCATCTCCAAAAACAGATTTGCCTGCTGTGACCTTGAAAATGGGGTCAAGGTCACCAAATCTGACAGGTGTATGCGGTGTCTGTATATACACTATAGTTCCAAATATGAAGACAATCCAGCGATTAGTTCTTGAGATATCGCGGCAACACCGTTTTCTAACTCCAAAAGCAGATTTGCCTGCTGTGACTTTGAAAATGGGGTCAAGGTCACCAAAACCGACTGGTGTCTGCGGTGTCTGTATATACACCATAGTTCCAAATATGAAGACAATCGAGAGGTTTAGTTCTTGAGATATCGCGGCAACACCGTTTTCCAACTCTAAAAGCAGATTTGCCTGCTGTGACCTTGAAAATGGGATCAAGGTCACCAAAACCGACTGGTGTCTGCGGAGTCTGTATATACACTATAGTTCCAAATATGAAGACAATCCAGTGTTTAGTTCTTGAGATATCGCGGCAACACCGTTTTCCAACTCCAAAAGCAGATTTGCCTGCTGTGACCTTGAAAATGGGGTCAAGGTCACCAAAACCGACTGGTGTCTGCGGTGTCTGTATATACACCATAGTTCCAAATATGAAGACAATCCAGTGTTTAGTTCTTGAGATATCGCGGCAACACCGTTTTCCAACTCTAAAAGCAGATTTGTCTGCTGTGACCTTGAAAATGGGATCAAGGTCACCAAAACCGACTGGTGTCTGCGGAGTCTGTATATACACCATAGTTCCAAATATGAAGACAATCCAGTGTTTAGTTCTTGAGATATCGCGGCAACAAACAGGTGGGACGTACGGACGGACGGACGGACGGACGGACGGACGGACGGTCGTGAATACTATATCCCCCGCTTCGCGCTTTCGCGCGGCGGGGGATAATTAGTCAAATAAACAATGATGGCAGATGCAGTAAATTTTTAAAGTTAAATCAGGCATAGCTTCCACCCACCCCCCGGGTCTGGGAGCAGTACTGCCATAAACTTCAGCCCCCATCCCCAGACACAAGGACAACAGTTCTTTTTCTGTTTAATCAAGTGAAATTTTAATTAGGACTCCGGATAAAAAACAAAAACCTGGAAAAAAGATGGCACCTCCTCGAAAAAACAAAAATGGTGTTTGTTTTTAATTTGGAATCCTAATTCAAAGTTTGCTTTTGATTTAATAAAGCTTCCATATTTGGAGATAAGTGATTAAACATGTTAAAGAAGAGCATGGTATGTTGATTTAAAAAAGAAAATGTGTGATTGTGTGACGAGGACCAGATGATGGGATATGGTTACCTCAGGTACATGTATATCCAAACCAGGTACATTCTAGTATCCTCATGTACTGTGTTTTTCAAACCCCTGAGAAGTATTTTTGTTTTTGTAATGACGTCTTACCTTTGAGAACAATTATTTCTGTAAACACTTGGATGGTCAAATGACCAAGTCTTGTTAATTTTAGAGCAATAATGCCTCACCAAAGCAAAACAAGTCGATCAGGCGCCATCTTGTTACTGTCACATGATTTCAGTTCCCTCCGTTACAGTCAAGTTATAAATAGATGCACAACATGAAGAGTCATGTGACATTACCATTATTACAGACACAAAGTTTACAAAAAGCAGCCAGTACATCATCGGTGCCTACAATTGCTCTGATGTAAAATTATCAACAGATCAAGTTTTATTAAAATTACATTTGTGACAAACAAAGTTTTGAGGTATGTTTTCATTAGTTACTGAATATTATACCTCGTGTAGCTTAATTCATAACATAACTTCAGCCACAAGCGGCGAACATTTTGGAGTCTTCAGTCGGCTTTGAAGCATCCAGAGGCGATGTAGGGATATACGATAAGCTACTGAAGGGTTATAGCAAAAACGGCACCTCAGCAAACGGTCACCGAGTGAAAATGGCATCGATTAGCGAAAATGACACCTCACCAAAAGTGAAAACAGTTACTATTGCATGGCGAAAATGGCACTTTATTTTTTTTACCTTGGTATTACAATAAATGAAATTAAACTAGTCACATGATCACTTGCAAACTCAAATAATTGTGAAATGTTAAACGCCTTTAAGACAAGTTTACGTTAGAAATTAGCTTTAACTTCAATTTACTCAGAAACTCTGATTGGGAAAATAACTAAAATTGTTGTAAAAACCATACATGCTTTGAAGTTTTAAGTACCTTTACTCAAATTAACTCAATGTCAAGCTAAAACTGGGAAAATGTCAAGAAATGACTACAGGTATACTATATACGTGTATTTAATGTTTTAGCTTGACAGTGAGTTAATTTGAGTAAAGGTAATCATGGTAATTAAAAGTTCAAACTTCTAATGTAAACTTATTTTAAATTTCACAATTATTTGTATTTGCAAGTGACCATTTTTGCCAGAGAAATCGTTAACGTTTTAGCCTGTACTCTGGAATTACTGGGGAATAAAGTAGACACAATTTATGGTTAACAACTTCTGAAATACTGTAAAGGTGATGTTTTGGTATAGATCCTTATACCTTTGTCAAGCAAAACTGAATGAGGAACATTGTACAGAATCAAAGAGAACAAAACCTCAACCATCAAATTAGACAGTTAATCAGCCATCTAGGACCATATGAGCATCTACCCCAAATCACAACATCAACTGGGAAAACGTTCAAATCCTCTCCAAACTTCACTAAAAGAAAACCAACAGAAGCAGTCTACATTCGCAGCCACAAGCCACCAATCAACAGAGATCAAGGCTATTTCCGCCTAGCTACTATGAACTAATTAAGCAATAATCACCACACCTATGTGAATTAAACAAATTGGCTTCATATGTCTCATTGGGTTCCACCTATGTGTTCTCTGTCCATCATGTTGTGACAGCATTATCCTTCTGTTGTCATAACCTACTCATATTATCCCACTCAAGTATACCATTGTAGTTACTGTTAACCCTTCACCTACTATATATATTCTGAACAAACATCCTTCATTGTCCTTATTCAGTCTTGCTTGACAATGGTATAAGGATATAAGAATCTATACTGAATATTAAAGCAGTTGTTATCCATAATTTGTGTCTACTTTGTCATCTGGCAACTTCGAAGTAATGCCTATCAAAAAATGGAACTGGGGTAATGCCCCCCCCCCCCCCCCCCCCAAAAAAAAATAATAATTTGTAATCGTTTAAAACAAGGCTACCTCTGCATGAAATTAGAAGCAGTCTATCGACTCGTGCCTGTGCGTGATTTTGTGGAAACCGGAGACTAGCCGAGAGCCGTGAAGATGCCCAAACAGTCAAGACAGGGTCGAGCTGTGAGAGTGTGTCATGTCTTGATTGTTGGACCCCTCGCGGCTCGCGGCTCTACTGAGTAGTACTGTAGATTGTGGATGCATGTATGTTCTGTGAATGACAGCAGGCGACTTATTAACTACACTGTCATACCAAGGCAGAAAATCGAAACATATAAAATGTGTGTACAGTTCGCCATATGAATGAACTCATAAGTTCAGTTGTAAATAAAACTGTAAAATATCGGGAAACTATGTAATCTTACCTGCTGACAGCGAAGAGAGACATGGTGTTGTCTTCTTGTTTCAAAATGCCTCGGGAAAATAGTATAATTTCACTCAAAACTCAATAACATGGTTTGTAACGTGGGTATTTGTCGTCTGCTCGTTATCAGTTTCCAAAATTCCGCATGCCCTCATGGGCGCAGACATCTTGCATGACGTATTGTGGGAATCTGTCGTCCAATCATATTTCGACAAATAGCCTGGGAAGATCTAAAACTAAAAGAAGTCTTTGAAATGCGAAAAATATTGTTATTACTTTATTCTTTAATCAACAAATATAATAACTTGTCATTACAAACACTATAGGTGATAAGAAAGTTGAAAAAAACCCAGGAAACTGATTCACGAATAATAATAAACATGTGATATATTTCATTTCCGTGGTTTTCTATGATTGCTTCTTTTAGAAGCAGCTTGACGTATTGAATCACTTCCGGTTTCAACATGGCAGAATGGCTGTCAAGTTGCGCCGAGAAACAATTTTCCACCCATTATAAACATCTAAAGAAGATGTATTCATCGGGACTGATGTCCAAGACTGTTATTATATTTCTTCTACTGTCCGGGGTTGGTGTCGCTTACCTTGTCACCAATATACCCCGTCTGATGACTATTTTCATTCTCATCAGAAAGCAGCTGTCAACTTCTCAGATGCGATCACCTTCCATCTCCTTCATGCCACCTGAAACATCGCTAGTTATACGACCGAAAAACAAATTGACGATTAGCCCAGGTAAATTACATGTGTTTTGAAAAATAAGTCCACTTTCTCACACTGGTTAATTCTGTTGACATGGTTGATGTTTGTGAAAGTTACATTTTCTTCGACTAATTTCAAAAGAAAATGAAAATGAAAGTGAAACTACCGGTTCCAATTATTGCAGTGAATCAGGATTATTCATATCGCATGGCTGGCTTGAAACATGGGGGCTAATGAGTTAACAATGGTTATTTAGCCAAAATGTTTACCAGGAATTGCTGCTACTTACTGGTTATTACTATTAGTATACTCGGACACCGTGGTACCGCGGCATTCATCGTATCGCGGCTTTTGTGATTTCTTGTAGTTCACGCGAGACATGCCTCTTAGCAGCTGTCTGTTAATGCAAATCAGTAACCAGGAAGTGTTCACTTCGTAAACAATTTCAATTTCCACGGAATGTTCCGTATGCTGTAAGTAAGGAGTTATTAAAAAATGCGTTGATACATACTTGTGTGATCTTTTTTAATATTGCCTTACCCCCATCTATCAATGGACAACGATGTAACCCGCAGTTCCCCAAGTAAACTTTCTCTATCGACCTGAACAAGATCATCTGCATATTCATGGCAACTAATAAGGTAACGGAAGTTACGTAGTCCGCACATTTCTTCCCGCTCTGTGCCAAGAATCTATTGGGAGATCATAAGGGCCATAATGCCAAACTTAGAAATACGTACATACTTTGGGCATACTAGGAGTGCTTTTTATATATTTATTGTTGACGTTAAACATTTTTCCTTTTTGTGACAAATTATTGTCATCCAATTTGTTTATAAAGAATCTTAGAATATCATTTCTGATATTTTGTTGTTGATTTTTAAAATATTTTTCTCTTACTTTTCGCTAAATATGCATTGAATACCTATTACTGATAACACATTTAGAATTTTACTTGTGCTGTCTTTGCACTTGTCTGGACAAATCACTGATGTCTGGCATGATCATACCAAGTGGTTGGTAAAATTATGTCCTCTTTTTATCCAATTCGGACCTCCATACACAACTTTTCTCTGTACCGTGTTACAATGGAGTTCTCTCCCTTGGCAAACAAAGCGCGAGGCCCGGCTTTTACTCGGAGTTACTAATGCTTTTATCAGTAAAATATGCATTGTTAGATAAAATAAATGACATCTGATATAGAGAACACGAATAATCATAAAGGTTAGTGAGTGCATTTTGTTCCGTTTAGCGTACATGACAAGTATCGCGATACCCAGAGGTTGCAGGCTACCTGCTCATCTCGTGATCAACACCTGGTTAAGTACCTGCAACAAATGTCAACAATCATATGTATGCAGTATCTGGGCTAGTCACTCTTCATATTTTTCAAACACACTCCCTTCTAGCGTCAATAAGTTTTATAAGAAAATTGATTTCATTTGATTACCTTGGGAACATCTGCTTATATAGACATGATGGAGATGATATGGCTAAGTAATTCAAACTGAACTACAACTAATCCTATGCTTAGGATTGTAAAACAGTAAGGTATGAACAATGAAACTGGTACCTATGGTTAAAGACTGTACCAGCTGGCATGGCAGGAATGAGGTTACCTGCCTTAACCTTACTATTACTAAGTAGCATGCCATGCTTGCCGTAAAAGGTTACTCTGCTTGTCGTAAAAGGCGACTAACTGGATCGGGTGGTCAGGCGCGCTGACTTGGTTGATGCATGTCATGGATCCCAATTGTATGGATCGATGCTCATGATATTAATCACTGGATTGTCTGGTCCAGACTCGATTATTTACAGAACCGCCGTCATATAGCTGGAATATTGCAGAGTGCGGCTTTAAACAACAAACAAACAAATATTACTAAGTACTGTAACAAAAAGTACTGTAAAGGAGAACAAACTCAGTAAGCTATTGCGATTTAATCAAAGATAGATACGGCCGTATGTCTGTTAGTCAGATAATAGTGAAAACATGGAGGGATTAGTTGTTTCCTCACCATGCTCTCAGATCTATTAATGAAAGTACTAAATGATCTGTGGGTTAGTTGGATAAGAACAATAGTGTCTACCCATGTAAGTAAGTATCCAGACCGGACTAGTGCATAAGTAACTGCCTGGAAAACGGCAGCCTTGCCATAAGCTAGATAATTAATATTTTTGGTTTTGCTCATGTTACTTGGATGTATTTGTCATGTTTATTGTATTATTTATGTTTTCCCAGAGGTCCAAAAGGAGGCTGTGGCAGCACTGACAGTGGCCCTGGATCTTCAGTCACAAGGGAAAACTGAAAAGGCCATAAAAGTCTTTCAACATGCTCTTGCTCTGGACCCTTTACACGCTGACATCCTAACAGCCTATGGAGAGTTCATTGAACAACATGAAAATGATGTAGTTAAAGCTGACCATTTATACCGAAAAGCTCTCCATGCCCATCCAGAACATGAAAAAGCTTTGGAAAACCGACGCAGAACACAACCAGTTGTAGAAGAAATAGACCAAAGAACTTTCAACAGAATCGATCAGAAACGGGATAAACTGTATCGTGTACCTCCAAATCATCCAGGTTTGCGGCGAGCTAAAAAAGAGTCCTATTTCTATCATATATTTCATTCTAATGCTATTGAAGGAAATACTCTGACATTAGCACAGACTAGGTCAATTATAGAGACGCGAATTGCTGTGGGAGGAAAGAGTTTGGCGGAGCAGAATGAGGTCTTGGGTCTCGATGCTGCTCTAAGTTACATAAACAGTACTCTACTGGGTCGTGTAGGGCAGTTGTGTTTAGAGGACTTGTTAGACATTCATCGTCGAGTCCTAGGATATGTTGATCCCACGGAAGCAGGGAGAATCCGAAAAACTCAGGTGTTTGTGGGAGATTTTCAACCCCCTCCACCTCAAGATGTGCCAATGTTAATGAACCAATTTGTTGATTGGTTGAATGCAGAGGAAGCATTAGAACTCCATCCAATAGAATTTGCTGCTCTTGCGCATTACAAACTTGTGATAATTCACCCATTTTATGATGGCAATGGGAGGACTTCAAGGCTGTTGATGAATCTGATTCTGATGCAGGCAGGATTTCCGCCTGTGACGGTGAAGGTTGAGGACCGTCTGAGATACTATGAGACAATTCAGATGGGAAATGAGGGTGATATTCATCCTTTCATTCGTTTTATGGCTGAAAGTACGGAGAGAACTTTGGATGAGTTTTTATTATCTGCAATAGAGAATCCAGTTTCTCATTCTCATCAAATAAATCAGACCAGTAATAAAGGTCGTGTCATTGACATGGATGAAGAAGAAGAAGAAGATGAGGAATACGATGATGAGGAAGATTATGGAAGTGATGAGCAGGAGGAAACTGGGGATTGAAAGACTACAAATATGTTCATCAGATATGATCAGATGATGATTATCATGACTATTGTTTTGGAAGTTGTTTTATTCCAATTACGGTATTCGACGTAATAAGCGCCCCGCTCTAATAAGCGCCCACGGCGGTATTTGCTAATATATTAGCTAGTGAACAATCCCAATTAGCACCCCTTCCGATTGATCAAGACTTATTTATTCGTGTATAATACGCACGGTGTTATATGCACCATTAATTATGGGCAATTAAATTCTGTCGTATATAAACATTTCAAGTTGTCAGCATAAACCCTGAAATTTAAATTCTTTTAACTCTGTTTTCTTCACCAAAATAATATTCTAATAAGAGTCCTTTATTTCTAATTTTGAGAGCACCCTGGGAGCTTATTACGTCAAATACGGTAATAGATATACAAAATCTGAACCAAAAGTGATGAAACATGATAGTGGTAAAAGATAGAGCTATTGGCTTGATGGTGTGTTTTTTTTCACTTTGAAATATTAATATGATATTAGGAATAATACATGAAGCTGAAACAAGTCCCTGGAAAGTCAAGGGGTATTTGTGAAAATCCTATATTGTTTCATCAAGATCAAGACTTTGGTGTATTGTTTGTAGTAACCATGCTGAAAAGTAATGTGTGTCAGGACAGAATTCTATTTAGGTTAACAAAATCAACTTGGTTTCGGGTAGACATGGTCTGTCTGACCATTCATCTCATGTACAGCCATGATATTTTCATCACATTGGTCTCTTGTCAGAAAAGTTATGAAACATTATGCTAATATTAAAAATAAATAATTTCTTGTTTACATATCTGATGAGGATGGTGACCACGGTTACCTGAGGACATTTATGTTTACCTTGCAATTCTTCTCTGCATGTTTTGTTTACCAGTCAGGAAACATACAAACAGTCTCCACACCCCTGTCTTAATGATATGATTATTGGCTACCTGTTGGTTCAAGACTTAGCATGATGCATTTTGTTGGTTTTGTAATATCCATCTGGAGTAATGGTGTTTACTCCATATATATTTATCTCTGTGTAGTCAGTGACAAGTGCTATTGTATATGTGTGTATGTGACATATCAGCCACTGAGCTGTGACAATGTTATGAACATGATGAACGTGTGGCGGAGTTTCTGAACGTGTTCACTTTATCAATGTTTATGTGATATGTTCAGGTGAACCTGTTAGCTATGCTGTGATTGAATGTATACTTATTTCTTAGCTCTATTGTGATAAGAATTCAGAAAGAAAAAGTAATTGATTGGAAAGTTTAGTAGCGACATGACTCAAAGCATCACAATATATATCAATTAATAACAAATGAGTTATTTTGTATGTTTGTAGAAAAAACATTTCTATCGAGACCTGCAATTATTCAACTTCTTGCTAAATAATAACTAGGCTGATCCATAAAATGTTTACGATTGAATGGTTTGCCTTCATATTGTCCATCTTGTCCATGGTAATCTTGCCTTTCTTTGGCAGTGAATTAATAATGTGGTATCAGTATTCATAAATTTTTTATCAATGCACGTTAACGATACATTGATGTTGTGATCTACGATGAATTCCCTAAAGAAAACCCATAGTCTTATCATGCTTATAATCAAAATAATCATAATAATACAAGAATATTTGTGTATCTACTTTACTTTTTTTATTAGTGTAACTGGGGGCACAGGTGGCCCAGTCGTCTAAGGCGCTGCGATTCGCTGTGCAGAGTTGCGTCCCTTGGGCATGCTAGAAACCTATGATTGTGGGTTTGAATCCCAGTTCGCCCTGATTATGTTTCTAGGTTTGTCATCACCATACCCATGCTCATGGATTTCACCGAAGTGGTAAACGTCTGAGACCTGCATCACTTTGGGCTTTCCTCCCACATTAAGCTGACACGCCCTGATATAACTGGAATAATGTTAAAAGCGGCGTTAACTCACTCACTCACTCACTCACTCACTCACTCACTCACCCACCCACCCACCCACCCACCCACTCACTCACTCACTCACTCACTCACTCACTCACTCACTCACTAATAGCTAGCGGAACTGTTTAGTTTATAACCAACCTCGGAAAACTCAACATATGTTTTAGGGTGCCCAGGAATTTGAGTAAACAAGGTTTGTCGATATGTATTTTTGCCAAAAACTGATATTGGACTACATATGGTTTTCAATGCTTATTGATAATGTACATGATGTATGTTATGTTGAAGGTATCTGATATTTCACCTTTGTGTTCATAGAGTAAAGATCTATTGCACTGCAATGTAGGATGTGGGGTCAAAGGTTAACAAACGTGTACATAAACGACATACAAGGTTAAAGGTGAATATTGACTTATAGATTTGGGCATAGGATTATGATGGTTATGATTGTTTGAAGTGTTGTGTGACAGTGTCAGCTGGGTATGCAGAGTTTAGAATCAATGATGTGGAGAAGACTTGGTGTGAATGTTTCTCTGCTTCCTTTGTTTGGTAATTAATTTTATTCATTTAAGGGCAGATTATTATTTTCAGATTTCTAAGATCAAATTCTTATAAGAACTGGGGTATATTTCACATAAATATTAATTTGTATTCTTGGATGGTTGCTCTTCATCAGCAGTCATAACTCCCTGTGCAGAGTTGCATCCCTTATATGTGCCAGGATCCAGTCATCGTTGGTTTGAATCCAAAATTCCCCCTGCTTTTGAACCTAGATTTGTCGGGACAATTGCCCTGCTAAAACCTGTATCACTTTTGGCTTCTTTACTTCATTCTGACAGGCTGTGATATAAACATGATATTGTCCATATCTCCTTAATTACATTGTTTATTGTGAGCTTTGGCTCCATCTGTGTGACGTGACCCTGAAATGATAATACACTCCAATATGTCCAGATACAAATGTGTCAATTTATTAATGTCAGCAAGGAATACTCACATCTGTCGCATTTATTTCATGCTCACATTAATATCATGATTTACAGTAGATTGTAGAATACTGGTTGATGAACTGAGAGCCTTAGACTAGGGAACAGATCCTATCATGCCTGCAGGATGGTAAATATGTTGAAAATGGTATGTACGTTATTCAAGTCATTGTGTGCAAATATGTGTTTTGAATGTTCAAAATGTACAAAATGGAAAGCTGTTACCGATGATTGACAGGTAAAACTGATCACCTGTCTGTAAACAAATCTACAAACAGATATATGAAACCAATCTCAGATCCTTGGTCCTGAAATCCACGAAATCCAGTGCCTTGTTTACTGTGGCAGAGATAACATTCTTTTATGTTGTCTGATACCTGCTCTGTTGGGGAGCTAATGTTGTCTGATACTTGCTCTGTTGGGGAGCTAATGTTGTCTGATACTTGCTCTGTTGGGGAGCTGATGTTGTCTGATACTTGCTCTGTTGGGGAGCTGATGTTGTCTGATAATTGCTCTGTTGGGGAGCTGATATTGTGTGATACTTGCTCTGTTGGGAGCTGATGAGTCTGCTGTGTTGTGTGTTGTACATGAACAAGTGTAATACAAGAGTACAGTATTGCAATACACAGTGTAAGACTAATTGGCATCCTCATCATGAATCAACTACAGGGGACTACATAGATGTTTCATTAGGCCAGAAACTATTTACTCGTGTTTAATGAACTCCACTGACCCATCACTTGAATTGTTACCCCAACATTTTTATCATGTCTGTGACAAGTTATCAAGAAAATGAATACCTGTGAACATGTGTTTGCCTACACCGACCCAGTGCATGTTTTGTGAAACGCAGGTATTTGTTTTTCTGTCGTATCAATATTGGGGAGCTGAATAAGAATGGCATCATGAGGACATTCAGAGTTCAAGGTTTTTGACGTTATTAACACGGTCAAGCTTGTAGACAAGTCAGATACCAGTGTCTTTGGATTTATAAAGCGAAATGCCCATGGTGGACAAATAGGGGAAATAACCTTTTTGTGTCTCAAATAGGAAGGTCGTAAATTAAGAGGGCTTTTCACACCAATGTAACAATATAGAACTTGGTACTAAAGCTTTATTTCTCTTTTCCGATCCTGTTATCAGTCATAGTGCCAAGTGTAAATTTCACTCAAGAGTTATTGTCCTGGTTGTTTTAAAATAGGTTTCACATGCAGTTAACTATTTCAGTTTAAGTTAAACTCTTGGAAACAAAAGTTAAAAGTTACGTCAGAAATTTCATTTAACACAGACTATGTTTGTTATCTTACTTCCTCTTTTTTTTAACCAAATTTAGAAAGATATTTGTAAAACATGCAAAACGCAATTATTTGGCTTAATGTAGGTTGATTATTAGATGCTTCCTGGTATACAATGGAAGATACATAGGATGACTACTGTGTCTCCTTGTGTGGTGGTACAAGGCATGAGGTATCACTTATTAATACCTCTGTGAAGTGTGTGTATGTACTGTCTGTGATGAATGACTGGGGACTGTATGCTGCTACAATTGGTCTGACTATCCTGTGATCTACAAAAGTTATTTATTTAATGAAGTATATTTTGTGGTTTACATGTTGTTCTTGTTGTATTTCCCCATGGGCATTCAGGGACAGAATGGGTCCCCTGTTCAGAAGAGGGGATTAACATGACGATCAGGTGGTCATAATGTGTGACCTGGCAGATTGGGCGACAGACCGCACCAACCAAGTCTCATTTACAGACTGCCCTGATACAGCTGGGATACTGCTGACTGTGGAGTAAAACAACAACGACTCCCTTGGGTCTATCCCTGTTAGGATTGCATCTTGTTGTGATTGCAGATAAACTGAGAAATTGGTGGCCACAATATCTACACATGGACCAGTTGGTGACACTGTACAACCAGGGCCCCATTTTACAAAATGATTGTAATGCTAAGACCATTGTAACTTCTATTCTTTGACACCTACGGCAGTTGAAGTGCTTAGATTGCTTTGTGAAATGGATCTCTGGGGTGGTATTCATCATAAAACAAGGTTTTTCCAGAAAAGTACTTTTATGAATACTGACCCTGGTTGATAAAGTACTGAGGCACCTGTTAGCATGATGCCATGCTTGTCGCAAGAGGCAGCTAACGGCAGGTCAGGCTTGTTGACATATACATATGACCAACCATGTGGATCGATGCTCATGACTCTAATCTCTGGATTGTCTGGTCCAGACTTGATTATTTACAGACCATCATGTATACTGCTCTGAAAAAGAAACTGCATGGTTTCTTTTGGTGCTTGGTAAAGCAGGAATATTGCTGTATGCAACAAACAAACAAAATCTGTGGCTTACAGGTTTAATCACTGGATTGTCTGGTCATGGTAAGCAGTGACTAAATTGGATTTGATTGTCAGGATTGGTGATCATGATTTTGTCCATTGCACTATTGACGTCAACAACTGGTTTGTCAACCTCTTGATTAATGACTTACCACCATGAATTACCTGGCTCATCACTGACTGGGCCGTGAAACAAGATCCACTCACCCATTTTCTGGTCCAGATCACCTGAGGCTGTGATGATACAATAGTGATGATTTCTCTGTATTATTCACCCACAGTCTGCAATTTGGCTCCTTGTTAGCTGCCATGGCTATGCAATAGTTTTACTATCCCACTTGTACAGGTTGAGGCTTTAAATCTTAGATGTTGCATAGCAAAAGGGAACGGTACACAGCTAGTTGATTGAGTGTCGTGCTCACACTTTCAACCATTTGTTTGCTAGTTCAAAGCCTACGATACACAGGTCCTTGTAATGTAGATGTTTTACTGCTAACCAAAAAATATAACTACAATTTGAATTGCACAATTCGAATGTGCTATATTTTATTCAGTAAGAAATGTATACATTTGAAATATATATTTTTTATGAAAATGTGTAGAAAAATAAATACATGTACATTGTGGACAAATCACAGTCAAAAGTTGCAGAAGGACGCACAGGCGATACTCAATAGTATGTACAGTAAGAACAAAGGAAAACTCGTCCCCGAATGAAGTGTCGTAAAATCACAAGCAATGCGACGATAAACATCTCGCGTAATCGACTGGTTATTTAATAGAGCCTTCTTACTTATTTTTGTGTTTCTCGTCTCCAAGGGGTTTTCTCTGAGAGGGGAGGTCGGAAAATGATAACAAAAGAATTCTTTTTGCAGAATACCTCATTCAAGGCTTTGACGATGTATACCAAATATTTGACAATTTAAACATGTCTGGTCCCAAAACCGAAATTTATACACATTGTGGAAAAGGATCGAAGAAGGGACATGTAGATAAAAAAAATCCATCGCCATAAAGTCATATGGTAATTCTTACCATTGACCTATTTCGAGTCATAAAACTAATATTAAACACAGGTTCGAATCAGTTCCAAAATCACTTTAATTTTAAAACAAATATGTACCTTCTCACACCCAGTCTCCGGCAAAATGGTACCGGATAAAATATTGTAAAATATTGTAAAATAAAGGAAAGACTTTTTACACAGGTTTAGATCTAGATAGTATCTTAAATATGTTATTTATTAAATTAGAATGACAGATGGATCTGACCGGTCTACAATCTGCGAGGTTACCACCGACCCCCCACCCCCCAACACACCATATTATTTCACGATCTGGTTAAATCTGACAGTGCCAGTTGCTAAGAGACGGTGTATAAATTTCACATCGCACTACTTCAACCCAGACTCATTGTTGGAACCCCGCATTTTACGCCGCTTTAAGCTATAATCCAGGCATTTCATGGCTTGTATCCATGTAGGGAATCGAACTCGTGTCTACGGCTGACGAGCAAACGCTTTAACGACTAGGCTACCCCACCACTCCTGCACGAAGACATGAGCCGGGCATACAAAAGTAGAGTCAATATATAGACCCCAGTTCAGTAGGAGTGTTATAGTAGACATGTGCGAGACATGTCAGGCAAAATGCCTGAATTCATCTTATATATTTAGGATACATGTAGGACTCCGAATTATGACATCACTAATCTGTGCCAGATTGTCTTATTCGTCATTATATGCAGCAAGTATCAGCATGAATTTGTATATGCAGTAAGTATGGCGCATGCCGAACGACAAATGTTAACTTTGGGGTATTTGAATCTTGATCCTGCTCATTTTCTGTGCACGATGGGCCCTGTTATGACCAATGAACTATATTGAAATATTCATGCCGTTTGATTGCATCGAAACCTCTTATTTATCATGTTTATATTTGCTAATTTTTGCTCAACCTTTTCATTATGACCTTCATGATCTCAGGCAAATCCAGGTATGCTATCGTGGGGGGTCACACAAGTATCCTTAAATTGCATAATTTAAAATATATATTTTCAAAATATACTGATGGAAACGAATAAGGGGACACTAAGTTTTAGATAGAGTAAAATGATATGCTATCATTGGTTCCCAACCTTGTCTACCAAACACATCTTAACATTTAATTCTAACATGAGTTGAATTTGTATCCGTGCTATTTCAAATATAGTGGACCGCCTCCGTGGTCTAGTGGTAGAAAGTCCGCCCGGAGAACCGAAGGTCCGGGGTCCTACCAAAAGACGTTAAAAGATGGTACTTGTTGTTACCCTGTCTGGCGTTCGGCATAAAGGGGCAAAAACAAGGACTGGTCGGCTCGGAGTAAACTGTGGCTGAGTGGGGTATGCATGTTAAACTGCGGCATGGTATCTCAGTGAGCTAGCTCTATAAATCGGCATTAGTCCGGACTAGTACAAGCAGTCACACACACACACACACACACACACACACACACACACACACACACACACACACATGCACGTCGCTATGTAAGTGCAATAATCTTGGACGCGACGTTAAACCCAATTTCACCTCACTTTATTCCCCATATTTTACATTGTTCCCGTCTTCGTTTCCAACAGTATATATATTCCAAATCCGATGACTCAATTCTGTACAATGTCAGTAAAGTTTTCTGTAATACTGGCTCAAAGCGGGCATGAACAGTTTTCACTAGTTGCCATCAGTTATCGAATAGCTCCATTGTCAATCTCAGTCGAAACCGACGTCGAAGTATTGACACAGGATGAGCTTAAAATATGAAATTATTTGAATTCCAATTTCTCAATCGAGACGCACATCAGGCTTCTTACACGTGGACGTGGTGCTGGTTGTAAGGAGCCGGCTATACATATTGAACATTAATAGCAGCACTTTGTAGGGTCAAAGACTCAACACAAGTGAATGGGGAATATTAACTGAGTAAACATTAACCAAAGGCTCTTGAAACATTGAAAGGAGAAAGCCACACGTTTTTTTCTGACTTGGTAGATAACGAAATTGTGTATCAATATAAGAAGTTAGCTGTGTGCTTTTCAAGGAGAACCTCAACCTTTGGCGTATTATTGTTAATTTCTTGATTTATGCATCCACTAACCTAACAATCAGGTACGAGGAAAATAATCCATTAAGCTATTTTAACGCTGCCAAGCTTGATAATTAAAAAATGTCTGACTCAGATATGCTATACATGCTCAATGACCCGTAACTGTTTGCTCAAATACTTTACATAGCTTCACCGGAACTCAAATCGGTGCATGTTTGTTTTCACGGGGATCCCCCACTCCGCCAACCCCCACCCCACCACCATTTTGAAAACCAAACGTAGTATTAACATACCTGTCATCTTTCACAATAATGCCAAATGAAAAAATAGAGAAATGGAAAATTAATATTTTTTCATCCTACCGACTCTATTTTGTTAAAGATTAAAGTAAGTTTTGTTCATATTATACCGGAAAACAAATAACAAACGAGCCAGAGAGAATTACAGGCCTGGTAGAACGAGTGCCCCGCTATTACGTTGCCGCACCGTATATGCCCGATCAAGTGACGTAGTACATGATGTTCCCCTACTCTTCTTGCAGCGGGGGTGACGTTTCGGACCCCGGGGGCCACTCCCCTAGATGAAGTCCTCTCTGTAACAGAAAGAATGTTTCTTGTACAGAAACCTGTATACCAGGTTACCAATAAGGCTGAAGAAAAGATATTTCGAACTGGACATGATCAAACATTACTGTCTGTTTCGGCCGTGAAAACAGCATTGTATGTTCCCCGTGAAACGGTGCTGACGGGGTTAAAGCATCTTCCCGAGGCAAGATAGTTAACTGACTTAAACAGTCCAGTTTCCACCCTTGCCGAACTAGACTGATATTATGGAGTTACATTTTGGCTGGACTAACGAGTCTATGCATAGTCCAATCAAAATCGTGGAACGAAATCTAAAACCGGTTTGTAAACTGTCGTGCAGATTTCGGTCGATTTCAGGATTTGCAAAGCATGTGCACCGCCAACTCGTTGTCAACATATATTTTCCCAATCAAGGAAGACTTGACTTTTAAAGTCAGTTAACTCCCTTGCCTCGGGAAGATTGGGTTACTAGATAACCCCAGCAAGCTTGTTTCGACTTTTTCAAACCCATTCTGTTTGCCCGTTAGTAACAATCTCAGTTTCTTGGACTCACATGTTATTTTAGTTAACCTGAGGCCAAATGATATTTTGTTTTATAAATTGTTGTTGCAAATCTTTGTTTCACCCCAAATATAAAATCATCGGTCCATAAGCCTAAACGTGTCACTCAGCCCGACTCTTTCCAATAGGACCTCGGCCTATACTTTTAGGAATCCATATTGGGACTAGTTTCGTGTACTGACATTCGTCACCACTCGCATGTTTCCGTAACCCACAACAAGGTTTACATTCGGCTTGTCCCGAACGGGACAAGTTGGTCACGTATGGTGTTCTGACTGTCCTATGGCACAGCAAGAGCTTCTTGTTGTCCTTAACTTCATATATCTGTTCAAATTTATCAAATTTATCATTATTATTATTATATTTACTTTTGTCTTCAAATCAAAGTGCATACTTATTTTCTGTTAAACACAGAATAACGTCTGTAACTATGTGCGGCGGGATCAGGTGTTACACGGTTTGCAGTGCAATCATGCAATATCACTACGCCACTGCTGCCTGCATTCGTAACCAACTCGTGTTAATCCGGGACAAGCCGAATAGCGACTCGTGCCCCTCTCGTGGTCATTTTTGCGACCGGGTTCCGTCTTAGCGCAAACGGGTATACCTAAAACAATTGTCAACTTGTTGCGTAATTGCGTAATGGTTCACATATATTTCCTCATATATTATATATATTTCAGGCATACATCTGGACATGCGGAATTATACAGTATGATTGGACACCTTTAACTGTGTTTTTGGTATATTTTAAGATGCAAGACATATGTAAAATCAAAAATTATTTCTGAGGGATTCTTTAACGATGAACTTGAAATCATATGCGCATTCTGATTGCTTTGTCGTATTCGAGAGGGGGACGAGTCTTCTTGCAGGTTTACGGAAAGGGGCGAGTGATGACGAATGTGCTGCCCGAGGTATTATGTACGTAGCGAAATAAGCCGAGTCGACCCGAGTGGTGGTGTACGTGGGTCAGCAAGTAAGGATGGTGCCACCCAGACACAATGTTACCACTGCACTATGACACTTGTTATACATATTCTTGATCACAGTAGGAATGGACTCCAGACGTTGGCCTGTATGGTAGGACCCCCTAAGGCCCAGGCTAAAGACTGACCTGTCCGTGAGCGTCCAGCGTTCTGGCATCGTAGAGCATCCACCGGACTTCCTCCGTCCCCCGCAGGTTCTTGTAGTCCACAGGGAACCGCCCGTCCTGAAACACACGTCAAGCAACTTAAACAGTTAGAACACTCGGGAAACATTGATAGAAATGTTACGTTCGTCGCCACTCAGCCCTTTCCGTAACCTGAATTACGCGAGTGGTCACGACACTGCCACTCGGTCCCAGAGGCGCCTCGGGTGTTCAGCTTCGGTGACTCGGTTTGTACCCCTTACCCCGACGGCATGGATAAAGATAATAATAACGATAAGAATGTGCATATTTATAACCAAATTCACACCCTAAATCATGCTCAAGGCGCTACATTATTACCCCTGTCAATGGATCGGTGTCCACCCGATTTCATTCTCAGCTCCCTGGGGAGTAAACCACCAAAGCTGCCGGTAAAGCGTTAGAACGTCAGTCACATTACCACGCCATCCTACCACGACATCTTGCTACCTAGAACTTGTTTGCCGACTGAATATTGCTGACGCCTAAAACAACATTCACACCTTGTGAGCAGTCATCTTCCCGAGGCAAGTGAGTTAACTGACTATAAAAGTCCAGTTTCCACCCTTGCCGAACTAGGCTGGTATTATGGAGTTACATTTTGGCTGGACTAACGAGTCAATGCATAGTCCAATCAAAATCGCGCACCGAAATCGAAATCCGGTTCGTAAAGTGTCATGCAGATTTCGGTCGACTGCAGGATTTGCAAAGCATGTGCACCGCTAACTCGTTGTCAACAGATATTTTCTAAATCTTTTCATGTTTTTAATCAAGGTGCTCACGTGATTTGATGCACTTCGCGTTGTAAGACTCGTTTTATCACAATATAGATCTTCATTATCGATCGGACCGTCTTGACTGGGCGCCACCGTTTTGTTTGAAGCAAATGCAAGTGATACGAGAGGTTGAATCTGATTGGTCAATAGGAGAGGCATAGAAAGGACATAACTCGTAATAGCCACTGGTGGCAGCTACGTTCGAGCCCAGGAATTCCAGCCTAGTTCGGCAAGGGTGGAAACTGGACTTTTAAAGTCAGTTAACTCTCTTGCCTCGGGAAGATGGTTAGCAGTATGCACCTAATGTATAATTTATTAAAGGGAATGAATCAGATTTGAAAAAAAAATCCGTTTTATCCGTTTTACCTTGTCGACACGAGATTCAATCTCTTCAGGGTTCCGATCCAACAAGATACGCGCGAAGGTCTTCAGCTGTTCATCTGGCAGTGCGCATGCGTAGTGGAGTGGATACCGGTTACACTGCAAACACCGTATACAAGTTCAAGTGACGTCTAGACCTAAACTGGTTATCGCAACGTTTAGTCGTAGACTGGTATTCACAACGTATAGACCTAAACTGGTTATCACCACGTCTAGACCTAAACTGGTTACCACCATGTCTAAACATAAACTGGTTACCACCATGTCTAAACATAAACTGGTTATCACAACGTCTAGACCTAAACTGGTTACCACCATGTCTAAACATAAGCTGGTTACCACCATGTCTAAACTTAAACTGGTTATCTCAACGTCTAGACCTAAACTTGTTACCACCATGTCTAAACATAAACTGGTTACCACCATGTCTAAAAATAAACTGGTAACATATCTAAACATAAACTGGTTACCACCATGTCTAAACATAAACTGGTTACCACCATGTCTTAACTTAAACTGGTTATCACAACGTCTAGACCTAAACTGGTTACCACCATGTCTAGACCTAAACTGGTTACCACCATGTCTAAACATAAACTGGTTACCACCATGTCTAAAAATAAACTGGTAACATATCTAAACATAAACTGGTTACCACCATTTCTAAACATAAACTGGTTACCACCATGTCTTAACTTAAACTGGTTATCACAACGTCTAGACCTAAACTGGTTACCACCATGTCTAGACCTAAACTGGTTACCACCATGTCTAAACATAAACTGGTTACCACCATGTCTAAACATAAACTGGTAACCATATCTAAACATAAACTGGTTACCACCGTCTAAACATAAACTGGTTACCACCATGTCTAAACATAAACTGGTTACCACCATGTCTAAAAATAAACTGGTAACCATATCTAAACATAAACTGGTTACCACCATGTCTAAACATAAACTGGTTACCACCATGTCTAAACATAAACTGGTTATCACAACGTCTAGACATAAACTGGTTACCACCATGTCTAGACCTAAACTGGTTACCACCATGTCTAAACATAAACTGGTTACCACCATGGCTAAAGATAAACTGGTAACCATATCTAAACATAAACTGGTTACCACCGTCTAAACATAAACTGGTTACCACCATGTCTAAACATAAACTGGTTACCACCATGTCTAAACATAAACTGGTTACCACCATGTCTAAACATATACTGGTTACCACCATGTCTAAACATAAACTGGTTACCACGTGTCTAAACATAAACTGGTTACCACCATGTCTAAACATAAACTGGTTATCACCATGTCTAAACATAAACTGGTTACCACGTGTCTAAACATAAACGGGTTACCACCATGTCTAAACATAAACTGGTTACCACGTGTCTAAACATAAACTGGTTACCACCATGTCTAAACATAAACTGGTTATCAAAAGGACGTGGATCACCGTCATCCAGTGATCTGTCATTTGTGTTAAATGCGCGACGTCAGATTTGCAGTTTGTGGCCTCATATTATAGTGTTATCTGGTATATCTATTTCCTTACAGTACTATCTTGATCCGCCCGACAACGTTACGACTGTTGCCAAGGACGCGCTAATGTGGGCATTTTCTCACACAGCTGTGGTTCTTGCGTTGCGTCACCAGCATGATGTGTAGATACTAACCATATTCACGATCCATTCTAACAAATGTCTCTACTTGGTTTTCATGTTCATTAATGTCAGATATCTTGATATAAAGCAGGCTTTCAAAAGTTCTAAAATAATGTTTGAAAATTCGTTTTCACTTTTCAAACGGAACTGAAGCATATTAAGACAAAAGAAGTATAGGCATTCAAAAGTGGTCAAATAATATTTGAAAATCCGTTGACATAAAGATAACATCCGAAAATTTCGGAGAAAATATCACAGGAAAATAGCTGACAGTATGTCCTTAACACAGGAAGTATCGATTTGAATTGATATTTGACCACTGGATATATCGCATCGGAAAGTAATACGATGCATAGCTTTTTAAAAGAAAATACTTATTGGATAACTGAGCTTTTATCTGTGAAAATTAGGGGTCACTTGTCTGAAATATTGGCGCAGAGACCCCGTATTGCTCTGTACGGATAGCCATTTGTCTTTACAGAGGTCAAGTGTAACATCACAGCTCTAAACTGGATCGTATAACAAATAGGAGACAGTTATCCCTCACGCAGAGGACACTTAGTTACACGTGGAAGGGCCCACTTCCTTGAAATATCTAGCAGTATCTGTAAAATGCGGGTATGGATCGACTAACGTTGTCTGCGATAGACTTCAGTTCAGGTCTGGATGTACAGAGATACTTCGTCACTTCAGGTTGGGCGAACACTATTGCTCGTGTTAATGCTGTGAAGCCATTCTGAAAAATAAATGAAGAAAGGTTGTATCCGTGTATCAACAATAAGACGAAGTCACGATGTCGTGTTGTCTGTTCATGTTGTTAAGACATTTATTTTTATATCACGTCCGCGAAATGGCATCGCCATGGCATCGTGACACAGAGCCAATGTTCGAGAGTTACAGTGAGCTTCGAGTTGGTTGATCGTCTGCCAGACCCAACCACAATTATCGTAGCAGCTCCAGAGAAGAAGCGTAATTTTATCACGGAAAAGGTGTGCAATTTGTTGAAATATGTTTTGGGGAAACGCAACTGGTACCTCCATTCTTAACCCAGGTACAACACGGATGGCAGCAAAACAATATACAAACAGAACTGTATTGAGTTTACACAATTTTTTACTATTATCTAGTCAATGAAATAAAAACAGACAACAAAGTTGTTAGCGTATACCAATACCATTATCTTTATAAAATATGATATAAAGTAGTCCAGAGACTTCATTGTCAGACTGAAACTGCCGTTATCTAGACTTACAACTATCATAGACTTGCCTGGGCTGTACTACAGACTAATACAATTACGGACAACTAGCTTTCAACCCAGAGAATGTAAATCTAGAAAGAAGTTACATTAATCTACGGTTATAACGAACACGTTTGTAACGAACTGATAGATATAACGAACTCATTTTTTAGTCCCGGCCATTTGTTGTACATATGCTGTATATATGCTTATAACGAACTACGGTTATAACGAACCAAGATTAGTGGTCCCTTTGAGTTCGTTATAACCGTAGTTTACTGTACTTGGGCGTGGAAATGTGAACATTTTGTTAGAGTTCCATATCCCTGCAAACAAGTTACTGTAAAGTGTCGATAGTTTTAGTTTCGACAAACATTCAGCCATCTCCTCGGAAGTTTTAGTGTATATGTACGCGACTGTTTAAACACTGGGGTATGCTATATCTGTGTACATTCACTATAGAATCTACCTCCTCGGCTGTTTATTAGCAAAATATTCCATAGAACGTACAAATGAAAATACGATTGAATGAACGACTGCATCTAATCCTACCTTGTCTTGATAACTTGCTTCATTAAGTATCTGAACCTGCCTGAGGTCTCCTCGGGCCGCAGCCTCGAACATCGCCAACCCGCGGGCCTGTCAACACAGAGGTGAAGGTCAGCATTCACAAGGGTACCATTCAAATTCAACTTCTTTTCATTTCTATTAAAGGGGGTGTGGGCCTCCGGGCCCCCCTTTTAGTCGGCCTGTACATAATCAAGTCTAGACCAGGCAATACAGTGACTGGGTCACGCCCACGCCATCCGGTACGACGACCCGCAATCAACTCATAGAGCGACCATCCGATCCCTATTTTAGCCGACTGTTGCGACAAGTAGGAGACACTGTGGCCCATTGTGACTCGGAATCACCCGAGTTCAGATACACAGACGACATAATCAGGACCCTGTTCCACAAGCGATCTTAGCGCTACGATTGTCGTAAGTTAGTGTTAAAGAATGGGAGCTACGATCGACTTAGCGCTAAGATCACTTTGTGACACGGGGCCCAGGACATCTAAGCCCAGGAACATCATACACGCTCAAGCAGTCAATGTAGTCACCTCTATACTTTGAATGGTGTTTCTAATGCCGTTCTCTCCCGCTTCACCCGTGGACTTAGTTCCCTGCAAATAAAGACGATACCCAGTTTACTCCTAGCGCAATAGATAATGAGGTACTTATCAACTTTTACAAAGAGCGCGTCCGCCTTTGCCCTGTTACATTCAACGGGGATACGAGTGGTTCTGCAATTCGCTGTGTAGAGTTGCGCCCCTTTAGCCTCCCAGAAACCTTTGTTCGGGGTTCAAAGCCCAGATTCACACTGACCATGTTTCTAGGTTTGTCAGCATCATGCCTAGTCTGTCTTACAGACCCTGATACAAATATATATCAAATACAGCCCATGCAAGTCTATAATGTTTGGCAAGTCTAGATTACTGCAGTATGAAGAGAGTCACTGGGCTCCCTTTTATTATATTTTTATTAAGATAACTGAACAACTGTTTTTTCTGTACGATATGGTCATTTCAGAGACTAGATGTTAGTCTACATCATGCCCGGTCCGGTGGATTTCACCAAAGTTGTAAACGTCTAATATATTCTTCATTTTGGGCTGTCCTCCCACATCAAAAAGACACGCATGATATAACTGAAATAGCTGTTCAAAGTAGCGTTAAACCAATCCCATTCACTTGCCCCAGTTAAATGTGTGTAAAATACCATCAACGCGCACTGGCGTATTGTAACAGAGCGACACTTGTCTATCAAGCCTGTGAAAGTGATATTTCAATGAAGCGTCACAAAAATATTCTTTTTATGATATTACTGCGACAGTAAAGCCAAGAGAGGTAAGGTCAAATGAGGTTGAACGTCGCGTTCAAAATTATTGCACTTACACGTGCATGTGTGTGTTCGCGCGCGTGCGCGTGCGTGAGTGTGTGTATGCGTGCGTAGCTGCTTGTTCTAGCCCAGACTAATGTCAGTTTTATAGTGCTAGACCACGGAGAAACAATGCCGCAGTTGAACATGAACACCCCACTCAGATACTGTACACTGACTCCGAGCCGACCAGTCATTGTTTTAACCCCTCAGGAAGGGAAACATCCAGGCGCCATATTTAAGCGTCATAACGAATTGCCCCTTCGGCAGATCAGTGCAGCGTCTTGCTTGAACGCACCTCGCAAAACTAATCATTATTTGAGTAAACATTGTATAGTGCTCTGTGTTTTTGTAACACAGAGCGTACACCCAAGCCGTTTATGAAATGACAGATCCATGGCTGCCTATAAACCCAAACGAGGCGGATACAGTAGGAGAGACTTACTAGTTGCGTTATATTGAGGTTCTCCTCGCTATAGAAATGGACGGGAAGGTACAGGAGACAGAACTTCATGCTCTGCTGCTCCACGAACTGAAAGAGAAACGGAGCCAACGAGTGAATGTTGTTTTACGCGACAGTCCTCAATATTCCAGCTATTCCACGGCCGCATGAAAATGTGAGTTTGAAAATTGGCCAGTCAAACCAGTGGTTGATATCATGAGAAACGATCTATGATAGTAAGGTAAGGTAGCACACAATGAGCCCTTAGGCGACTGTGCCACGACTTATTATTCGAATCTGGACCAGACAAACCAGCGATAGATATTATGAGCAACGCTCATCAGCCAACTCACAGAGACTGGCCACCTGATTAACTGTCGACTTATTCAATGGGCAGACCAGCCCTGGGAGCCTCATCTAACCCGGGTCCCCACGGGGACGGGAACGACTGTAGAGTTAGGACTTACCCTGTCTATTGTATACACGACGTCGGCCCTCCCCTTCTGTGTGGCGAGCTCCCGGGGCGTCACTCCGTGCTGCAACAAACACACTTTACTACATCCATTACGCACAGTCTACGTCCATCTTGTACAGCTAAGTAACTTGTACCGTGGCTATTTCAAGGCTATTGTGTAGCATTGTTACTGGTACCGTGGCTATTTCAAGGCTATTGTGTAGCATTGTTACTGGTACCGTGGCTATTTCAAGGCTATTGTGTAGCATTGTTACTGGTACCGTGGCTATTTCAAGGCTATTGTGTAGCATTGTTACTGGTACCGTGGCTATTTCAAGGCTATTGTGTAGCATTGTTACTGGTACCGTGGCTATTTCAAGGCTATTGTGTAGCATTGTTACTGGTACCGTGGCTATTTCAAGGCTATTGTGTAGCATTGTTACTGGTACCGTGGCTATTTCAAGGCTATTGTGTAGCATTGTTACTGGTACCGTGGCTATTTCAAGGCTATTGTGTAGCATTGTCACTGGTACCGTGGCTATTTCAAGGCTATTGTGTAGCATTGTTACTGGTACCGTGGCTATTTCAAGGCTATTGTGTAGCATTGTTACTGGTACCGTGGCTATTTCAAGGCTATTGTGTAGCATTGTTACTGGTACCGTGGCTATTTCAAGGCTATTGTGTAGCATTGTTACTGGTACCGTGGCTATTTCAAGGCTATTGTGTAGCATTGTTACTGGTACCGTGGCTATTTCAAGGCTATTGTGTAGCATTGTTACTGGTACCGTGGCTATTTCAAGGCTATTGTGTAGCATTGTTACTGGTACCGTGGCTATCTACAAGGCAAATGTCTAGGCCATTGTACAGCCTCCCCACACACACACACCCTTGCTCCTTTGTTCTTTCATGATCTTAAAGAGCGTCATACGACTTTGTCCGAAGTTACTTGATCAGGGTTACACCATTCTAGGCCTGAGTAAAGCTTTCAAAAACTTGTGTGGCAGGCATGTGGAGGCCACTTTCTAATGTGACGCATCTGTTGCAATAATAATGCAATTCCCTGTTTTGACTTGTAACAACTTTCCATCTCTCTGATATAGCAGACATCGCAGAATTATTCATCGATCTTGATTTTCCCTTTCAACATGAGCACTGTGACAAGCGCGTAGCTCACCTGGTTCCGATGTGTGAGACAAGTCCCCTTCTGTGCCTCTATAAGCCAATGTATCAGGTCCTCTGATAACCCCATCTCTATTGCCCGGAGTATTGCTGTGTTACCACTCTGGAAAGATAAAGTGGGACTTTTTTTCAGGGTCGGTAGGGGTAACGTTTAAGAAGAAGAGCCAGAACGACATACCTTTCACGCTATAACATAGACTTACGGTCATTAATCAGTTAGTACATGAAATTGTTTGGCCCCTGCTTCCATTCCTTAAACATCTCAAAACACACTCAAACCGCCCCCCCCTCCCTAATGCACCACGTATACATGGTTGTTTGTTTGCCGCACTCAGCACTATTCCAGCTATATAACAGCGGTCTGTAAATAATAGAGTCTGGACCAGACAATCCAGTGACTGATATCATGATCATCTACGCAGTTGGGATCGATGACATGCATCAACCAACTCAGCGAGCCTGACCATCCATACCGTATGTCGTCTCTTACGACAAGCATAGTCACCTCTTACGCTGGTTTGTTGGTTTGTTGTTTATCGCAGCACTCAGAAATATTCCAGCTATATGACGGCGATCTGTAAATAATCGAGTCTGGACCAGACAATCCAGTGATTGATATCATGAACATCGATCCATGCAATTGGGATCGATGACATTTATCAACCAAGTCAGCGAGCCTGACCACCCGATCCCGTTAGTCGCCTTTTACGACAAGCATAGTCACCTTTTACGGCAAGTATGGGTTGCTGAAGACCTATTCTACCTCGGAATCTTCACGGGTCGTCACCTCTTACGACAAGCAAGGGTTGCTAAAGACCCATACTAACCCGGATCTTCACGGTACGTATACATGAACTCTACTGCAGTGAATATTGCACAGCAGCGCTTAGTCTGTTTATTGTAAGTTAGCCATGTATATTGCTATCTCCTTCCAACATCATTTAACGCAGAATTAGTTTTGAAATAGGCCTTCTCATAAATATAAAAGTACCTAACAGACTGGGATCAAGTGTGTAAAATATATCAATACCTAATAAAACTATCAATACCCAATGTGAATAATAACATTTTAGTAAACACTGAATGGCTCAGAAAGTATTTAGAGCACTTAGTCTCTTACAGCGATACTCGTCAAAAACTGATATCATTTTTTGTTGCTTCGTCAATGTCATCACGGAAGAAACATTATCTCTCTTTGACATACTTTTGGTTTTTTTATGAATGGATAAAAAAATAATTTTCTATGACTCTTTACTCACACTATCTTTCTCCGTCCTTTCCGTGTAATCTTGGACTTGAAAGATGTACTGGGCCATTCCCTGGCTGACACCCTTCTGAAGAGCTTTGTGGAATAGCGGAATCGTTGTCGTCACCTGGGAGACGCCACATTTACAGTTAGATACAGCGCAACAGAAACATAACAATATCTTCTTTGAGAGACATTTGGAAGATGGCATGATGAACAAAGACTAACAATAATGGCTAAACGACTTCTTTATATCAAGGATAACCAACAGTAACTGGACATTCGGTACAAATTATTTTTTGTATCAAGATACGCGTGCGTTATCCGACTTAAAATACAGCATCAAATTTAGTAAATACGGTGAGACTTCCGCCCGCTTCCCCCCTTAAAAATTGTTGATTAAAAGGATTGAGCAGCAATGCATGTATAACGTTTGGAAGGGGATACGGGCAGAAGTCTTTCCCCAAATCATGAGTAATCTGATATAGAATAAGCCTGAAAGTTAAAATAAATCAATAGATAAATGAAAATAAATACAATGGTAACATACTGCACGGGAATTTGATGCAGTACGTTCAGCTTCGAAATCCATTCTGCATTTGAACAAGCGCGCATATTCGTAATGCACGTGGAATTTATGCAGTTTGATCGTTGTGGCCAGTGCAGTCGTCATGGACGTGCAGTGCATGAGCATAAATTTGCATTGCAAAAAGTAGGTGAGTAAAATGATAATTTGTCACTGATAATCTACTGTTGAAACAACAGAATGACGTCATTGGTGTATTTTAATACACATTGTGGCAACGTATCGGTTTAGATTCTCGCACCTTTATCCAGCAAGTTCAGCATGATTCACTGAACGCTTCTTCTCTAATGATTATGTGGAGGCGTTAAGTCGAATGACCTGTTTAATATAGACCGACACGAGGGTTCGAAGTAAGAAACGTTATCGTGATAATAAGGCTGTCAAAAAGACCAGTACACACCACACGAGAAATATGAGCTGGAGAAAAAAGATGTTTTCGATGTTACTGAGAATTACAACAGTCTCTCTGTTGCGGATATGGTTGGTATGAGATCGATTTGCTGGAGAAAGAACTTGCTGGGCCGTTCTTTCTCTCGCAGTAACACTGGACACGTCTTAAAAAACAATTGATTCAATTATTGGAAAGAGCCCTTAGATTGGCATCGCAAGTAGGCGTGAAAACGGATGACGTCATAGGTGTTTCTTTGGTCCTATTAAGTTCAAATCTTACATGTTACAGTCAAATTCACGTGTTGCATGAACGTGAGTTTACCACACAGTCGTGTGAAATGCCGTGCCTGCATCACAACCTTATAAACAGTCGGTACGATGGTAACATAGTAACTGACAAATGTCAGTGAGAAACCTTTTGGACTTGTTTAGAATTTCTGTTTTCTGCGCATCAACACAATAACTGTACTCACACACACACACACGCTCTCTATATCACATACACACGCTCTCTCTCTCTCTCCCACACACACGTATTCTCTCTCTCTCTCCCACACACACCCCTCCCTCTCTCTCTCACACACACACACCCTCCATCTCTCTCTCACACACACGCACGCACGCACGCACGCACGCACGCACGCACGCACGCACGCACACACACACACACACACACACACACACACAAAACAGCTGCATCAACTCACCGTGTCATGTTCTCTGAGTCGGATTCTGTTGACCCTGCTTCCCCCTTCAACCAGCAACCGCGCTATGTCGAGGTTATTACTCTCTATAGCGTGAGACAATAGGGTTGGTCCGAGGCGATCCTGTCGAGAAAGAGCAGCATCTATCATTATTTATCATTTCACACGCTGGTGGTCTGGTTGGTCTGACTGTCACTTCACCTCCGTCTAAGCCTCCGACACATGTCCACATATCAACTGAAGAAGGTGAACATGAAAAATGTATTCTCAGATGTGACGTACAGTATTCTCAGATGTGATGTACAAGATGATGTGACGTATAATGTTGCCAGATGTGGCGTACAGTGTTTAGATGATGTGATGTACAGTTTTCTCAGATGTGACGACGAATAGTGGTCCTCCGATGTGACGTAAAATATTAAGATGATGTGACGAACAGTGTTCTCAGATGTGACGTACAATATTTAGATGATGTGATGTACAGTGTTCTCAGATGTGACGTACAATATTTAGATGATGTGATGTACAGTGTTTTAAGATGTGGCATACACTATTTAGATGATGTGATGTACAGTGTTTTCAGATGTGGCATACAATATTTAGATGATGTGATGTACAGTGTTTTCAGATGTGGCATACAATATTTAGATGATGCGATGTACAGTGTTTTCAGATGTGGCATACAATATTTAGATGAACTGATGTACAGTTTTTTCAGATGTGACGTACAATATTTAGATGATGTGATGTACAGTGTTTTCAGGCGTGGCATACAGTATTTAGATGATGTGACGCACAGTGTTCTCAGGCGTGGCAACAGTATTTAGATTGCTTGACGTACAATGTTCACAGATGTGACGTACAATATTTAGATGATGTGACGTACAGTGTTCTCAGACGTGGCATACAATATTTAGATTATGTGACGTACAGTGTTCTCAGACGTGGCATACAATATTTAGATTATGTGATGTACAATGTTCGCTGTTTTGACGAACTGTGTTTCTAAGGTGTGGCGTACAATATCTAGATAATGTGACGTACGGTGTTATCGTATCACCCAATGTAATATATACGCGAACGTACAAATTCCTACACGTGACGAGCTATTTCCTTATTTGGCTTCCAGTGTAATTGCCCCGCCCCTCACCCATGACGTACCCTCCATCTTATGTTGACCAAACATCCTTTCCCCGTCGATAGCATCTCCTTGAGGAGGTCAACGTCCTCACTGAGCACCGCGTGGATCAGATCCTGTGTGAGGCAAAGAAAAGAAACTAGACATAACTCAAAACCAGAGTGAACCATGTTTCTAGCTCGACACAGGCACCGAAATCATCTCCCGATCTAAAGATAGGGGAACTCGCAAGCATAATGCAGTACGTCTGCGTCATGACACAACCCAACGCCCCCTTAAAATAAGTCTTTAATGTTTCAACGAAATAATAAGTTATAACAAAGGACATAAGTCTTTATTGTTTAACGTACACGAATTCAACAAATGCATTTCTATAATGGCAAACTGAACAACATTAATATTGTATTTTTGACTATTAATTTCAAAGAGACTTGTTTAAATCTCCTCGATCTGGGCCTTTGTTTTGACTGCAAGTCACAGGTGGCATTTTGTGTCGTCTGCAAGTTTTCTTTGTCGTAATATCATTAACCACCTGCTACATCAGAGACCAAGTTCGTGGAGCTGCCTGCAGTACATTTCACGGGAATGTGTGTTTCACGTGCATTCCATGCAAACTTAAGTAAGAGACATTACGGGGAAGTTCAAAAGTAAAATGTAGGATTAATAACCAACTTCCTTAAGTTTTCAGACAACTTCCCTCAAAAAAGTAATTGTGAAAATGTTGAAATCCTCGAAGATTCTTTCATCAAGCGAATTCTATTAGCCATGGTTCCGAGTGTATCAAGTTCGCAGTTTTTTCATCCAACTCGCGTTGTATACCCTTGATGCCGATCCTGTTCATTTTGTGCAAAAAAATATTTCCACTAGAGCTGTATGTATTGACATAAAATACAAGTCCCCCGAAAATCAGACTGTAGCGGATTAACGCAAATTGTGCATACCGTTTTTTAATGTTTTATACCCATAAACGCAAATAGATATTGAAATCAATTCTTATAAATGAACACGTCAACAACAACAACTCCACAATATTCTTTTTTAATGATCAGCACTGCAGACAACAATGAGAAACCAGTGACATCTTTCAGAGAATTAATGTCATACAAGCCCCGCCCATTCTATTGTCATTCAACCAATAGTTCTTTAGTGGGCGTGGCCTAATTCATTTTGGTTTATGGAAACTTAAACGCAAAAATAATTTCTTGGATAGGCAATCAAATGCCGCTGAATTGCTTACAGTGTATTGATTCTGACTTGAAACCAAAGGTTTTTATCGTTTATTTCAAACACTCTTGTTAAGTGTTAATGGCAGTATTAGTACGTTAGGCCTTTAAAAACACACTCACTCACTTAGCCACTAACACTCACTCACTCACTTACACTGGTAGTCTTGTACTCGTGAAGTATCCTGGAACAGTTGGTGACCTTGGGATCGCTCTCTGCCCGCGACATCGCCAGCTGCAGCAAATTCTTGCCTTCCTGAAAAGGACAAACCCATTAAGTTAGGATCTACGTGTTCATAAAGAACAGTCTTTCCATAAGCGAGACAGGTGACTCACCACATTTACATAAAACAATATAATCATTGATTTTACCAGTAGAGTCATAAATATAACACGTCAACACTAGACAATAACCAGTCTCGATTATCTACCGAAATTGATTCCATTGGGCGTAAAAGGCAAACTAGCGACGGACATGATGTGAATGGATCACTGAGAATAAGTCATGTGTTGACAACAGGTGTTTGCGAAGTGTTCTGAATAAGAAATTATTATAATGTTCGTTTTTCACACTCTGAAAAGGGGTTCATTTCTGATTTCGAAGACGACAAAGGCGGCATCTTTTGCGTATATTCATATAACGAGGAGACATTCAATAAAATCCTCTATGTCGGTCTCAAGAAGGAATTCCTCGGTTTTGCTCAAGTTTAATAAAGATTAACATATGATAGTAAATGATAGCACAATGCGCCCAGATTCGGACTGTGTACAGTTGTGGGCAGGATCCGCTTGTTTTGGGTTCGAATGATCAAGCTGACACGACGTGAAAAGACTTAATACTGTCCAAAGCAGCGAAAAACCAAACTCACTCACTCACTCACAGATGCCTATCATTGCTGTTTTCACAAATAAATCTAAATTGTGTCGTGTTTTGTTTGTTTGTTTTGGTTTTTTTGAACGCCGCACTCAGCAATATTCCAACTATATGACGGCGGTCTGTAAATAATCATGTCTGGACCAGGCAAACCAGTGATTGACATCATGAGCATCGATCCAATTGGGATCGATGACATGTAAACGTGTCGTGAATTTGATGAATTGGCCATCGGTCTAAGTAAAACATTACAAAGATATCAAATAAACAGCGACCGTATAGTGTTATCACGGAATGTGTGATATACACTAGATGCAGAGATTCTGGTAAATACGGCATCGTACAAAAACCAGTTGGGACGTGTCAAGAATTCAACCCCTTAAATGGAACGTGAGAGTACCACCACTTCACCGGGTGCCATTTCTTCAGGCCCTGTTTCACTCGCCAAGCTATTCACGACAGACCGAAGAAACTCACTTAGTTTCATCTAAATTAGGAACCTTATTTGGTTACACATAGATTTCGGTTAAATCCCGTTTCACAAAATTACCTGATTTCATCGCAATCACCTTATTTTGAAAAAACCCAAACCGAACTCGTTCAATCACGAAAGTTTTTTGTTGGGAATAGAGGCGTGCGTATTAGCCAAGTTTCTCTATAATTGAATTATGTGTGTCAAGTAGTATTAATAAACTGCCGGGCAAAAGAAAGTTTACACCCATGTTTGGGGGTGGCTACAAATGAAACAAACAAAAAATGGTTATTCGATGGTTTGATACGGGCATTATAGTTGTATTTTGGACCTTAAGTTTGCTGTGTTTCGGCGACTGTTTTCAGATTGGTAACGTTTTGATAACGTTTGTAATTTTTTGGTCAAATTCATTTTAAAGGGGACACTTTCTTTTGCCCGGGAGCTTACGTCGTGGGGTTGTTTTTCATGGGAAATGCATTTCAGAAAGTCCAATTCCTATATTGTATAACGTAAATGTACAAGTTTTACTTTCTGAAGACGTTACTTCTGTTCCAGATTTTCGTTCAATGTAAAGTTGTAAATGTGGTAGTGCTGGGAATGGGTTGAACTTGGCAGAGTAGTGTCATATTCTTGTCTGAGCGCCGACACAAACAGAGAGGTGTGGCCACAGTTATGTAACCTGGCTGTATTGGTAGCTAGGTGTTATTACTATCAACCATTGGTTTGCTTGTTTCAGACTAGATTGCTCACGGGATGCCGATAGACAGTCCAGCGTTAGAATCTATCGAACATGTCGCTTGTCTTTAGTGTAGTCTCAGTAGGATTAATAACGCCACCCTGATGATTTGTTACGTTACCTTGACGACTGATTACGTTACCTTGACGACGGATCCAACGCTGCACCACGTGTGTTTGCAGAGCCGATCTAGAGCCTGGGATTTCCCCTGCATCACAGCCTGGACTACCCCGGGCTGAACATCAGTAATGATTATTACAATATTTATATTCGTACAAAACTCACACACAGTATAATGAAACGATTTTTATTTGATTTTTATTTCTTTTGTCTGTTTTGGAGTTCTACCACCGTTTTATAACACAAACCGGTTGCCTCGAATTACGGATATTTATTCGAGAGCCACGTTCCACCCAGCGCTACGTAAGTAAATGTAAATGCTGGTATATGCAATATGAACAACAATATATTAGCAAGGGCTTGTTTTTGCATTCGGAACTCCTCGATAATGTTTGTTTTCGTGATACGGAGATCAGTTATGCTTGTCTGAATGTTTCACTCGCTCGTACGGAGAATTTAAAAGTACAGGTATCTGTTGTAATGCTCCGCCTAGATACACCTGTAGGTGCGTTTCTAATGAAACTCGTAATTACATTCTGGAGAATTCCACGACTTAATGTGACATAAATGTTTTGCGTGATGACAGAAATCAGATATTACGGCGCAAAAACACATCTCGTCTACAACCAATCTCATTAAAATCAGATCTTAGTTCTCGGTACCAATAAAGAAAATATGAGGACATTCCGTGACAGGTCACGTCAGACCGACCTTTCACGAGCTTTGTCCGACCATTGAAACAAGAAGTCGACATTAGCCAATCAGAAAGCAACTTTCTAGAGCTTTACGGTGTTTGTTTCGAACTGACGATTTCCATTCCTGGCAACGCTTTGAACGATATCGATTCAAAATTTGAAAACTGAACTACAGAAAATTCGGGAATATCTAACAGATGGCCTAGATTGTATGGCAGGACTTCCCATGGGTTATGGACTGTCTCTTCCGTTTCAAATGTTTAACCCATTAAAGCGCGCGCGAGAGAGAGAGACGATGATTTTGACGGAATCCGCCGAACAGCCCGTAATACCCCTTCCTAATTTTTCGAGGTTGCATGATTAGATAACGCATTCCGACTGTCACTTTCTTGATCTGGTAAGCGACGCACTGATTGGTCGGATGAAAGGTCTTTCTGGCACGACCCGTCGTGGGATATCCTCAGATCTTCTTTTCTGATTTTAATGAGATTGGTTGACAACAGACTTCAGCATGGCTGGTAACTTTCGGAGTCATCATGTATGCAGGTTTTCAAAAAAAACATATTCCAAATAATAAACGTAATTGGCAAACTTCGCATTTTCAATGAAAACCTCTGTAATACAAGTATGCTAATGACTGCGATCGTAGTTTTTGAGAAAACCTGCAAAATGTCGATCCATTATATTCCTTCGAGATTACTGAACACCGTCGTTCGCCTTTGCTAGGCCCATGTTCGTGACGTCTCCCCGTTTTCCTCACGTTTGACGTACTTAAGGCAAGACGCTCGATGCCCTATGCACACAGTCCAAGTACACAAGTATTTGTGTGTGTGACTTCCAAATGAACATGAATTTGGGCACAATGTCAAATTCAGATAGCAATTTATTATGAAAGCTCAGCAAAGAAAATGTAGACTTATTCCCGCACCTCCTTGAAGTAAAAAGATATTGTTATTGGCCGCAGCAGAGCTTGTCATTCCACTGCAGGAATTGTTTTTGTTATAGTCTACTATATCTGATTTTATTCAGCATCACGTGTTAAAATTAAAGTCGATAATTGCATTTTTGAAGTATACCCTATGATGATAATTTTCATAGTTATAGTTAATGAACTATTTGAAAACAATGAGAATAAAGCATACGAGCAATTCATGGAACGAGTCAGTGACCGTTGTTACGGCAACATCCCATCTATATCAGGACGGCCAGTACATGTAGGACTCAAATGGGGATCATGTTACCGACTTATTGTGGGTCATTTTACCCCATGACGTGGATTCAAAGCCACAACTGTTCCGCCATCAAACTATATCGTGTTTTATCAAACATTGATATTGATAGGATTCTTTTGTTACAGGGGTGGTCAGGTAGCCTAGTGGTTAAAGCGGTCGCTCGTCACGCCGAAGACCCGACTCGATTCCCGACATGGGTACAATGTGTGAAACCCATTTGTGGTGTCCCCCGCCGTGATATTGCTGGAATAGTGCTAAAGGCGGCGTAAAATCATACTCACTCACTTTTGTTACAAGATTGGATCTGTCATGAGCATGCCACACAGCTCCCACTTCTGGTGCCCCCCCCCCCCCCCCCCGTCATATTGCTGGAATATTGCTAAAAGCGGCGTAAAACCATACTCACTCACTTAACGCTTGAATATTGTCTCGCGTCCTCGCGATCTCTACCTTTGGCTACCAGCTAGAGGCGCAAAAGATACGAGATCGCGATAATTGGCAAAAACATCGACTACTCGCGATGGCACACAGTACATTTGCTCATAAGTCCAGAACGCGAGAGTACAACATTTAGACATATTGTCAAATCTTTCAATTTTGTACTGTCGTTTAGTCAAATCAGATCAAAACAGCACGAAACCGCGAGACGATGACATACATAGGTCATAGTGCAGATGAAACACCCACCTGGTATCTTAGCAACAAGTCTCTGATGGCCCCCTCTGCAATGTCCAGCGGCGTTTGACCCAGCTACAAGGACGAGTCAAACGAAGTTATCATACCAGACAAACATCAGAGTATGTACAGTATGCCTAATGCACGAAACTGAGAACTTGGAATAAATTACAGGTTTAAAAACAAAATTAACTGTTAACTATTAAATCGCAATTCCGTTTGTTGTATTGTCATCAAACATACGAGAAAATACTTATGAACACGAATTTCATGAGAACTTCATGCGGACTTAAATATCGTATTTCGTACAACAGTAATGCTCAAAATATTGTGACGTCAACGAAGAAGAATTATCGAGAAAAACAAAACCAGAGGTTTTAATCTATTCGGAACACATCAGTGAAGAGGCAAAAATATACTTCCATTTTTTCATCTAATATAAAGAAATTATATTCCGCAGTATGATAAAACGAACATCAATGACGTCATAGTGTAGCTCACCTTATTCCTGCTGCCGAGATCAGCGCTGCACTGTAGCAAGGCTTGAGTCATGCCGTAGTTACCTGCCCTTACAGATATGTGCAGTGCACTATCGCCATCCTGAAATTGCAGAAGACAATGCAAAGGTAAGTGTACAGTTGGACAGAGGCCTCCCTTTGAAGTGCCCATTCCAAGCGTACGTATATCAATTAGTGAGAGTGATTTTAGTTGATACGCCGGTTTGAACAACATTTCAGTTACATCACTGCGTGTCAGTTGAATATGTGGACCAGGCATACCAGTGGTTGACAGTATGGGCAACCATCCACGCCATCGGAGCACCATTACATGCGTTGTGGCCAGCTTATCCTAGCGACTCCCTTACCAAACATTCGTCAACAAGTACCATCTTTTAACATCTTTTGGTATGACGCGGCCAGGGATCGAACCCCGGACCTTCCGCTCACTGGGCGACGCTCTACCACTAGACCACGGAGGCGGTCTTTTGCTCCAAGGAGGGCTAAATGGGGATCGGGTGGTCAAAATGCGCGACCGGATTGGTTGTATGCCATTGTATTCCAGCTGGAACCGCTGTTCATGCTCAACCACATATTTGACAGATCAAGTATTGATTCCTATTCGACTCAATTAAAATGTAATTTTGTTAATCGCAACACAAAACAATAATCGCTGACACACTCATCAAATCACGATCCAGATGTCAAGCATACAAAACCCTGTTTAATAAGGACCTAATCACGAGCATATGTTGCACAATGACGTGTCAGAGAAGCAATTAAAATCAAATTCAATTTAACAAAAATAAAACGACTCGATTCGGTCGCCATGTGTCAATATTACTCCTACTTTTATACCCAACCGAAACATTACAAGGTTGTTATTGCGACATCCCACGTGTTTGTTTAACCTGTTACGAACATTTGACGCAAAACACTTTACATGCTTGAGAAGATAAACAAACACCATTGCCGCTCTGGTCCACGAGAGTACATTTATACCACTCAACGTCACCCGACACCAAACCCTTTGGTTTGAGAGTAACTAAACAAGCTCTCAAAATGGCTATTTTTTATGACGCAGACGATAAAATCTTTCAAGTACTTAAAATTCTGAAACAAATTAAGAAACCCCATTCCATCATTTAAAATTCATCCAACGCTTCCAACATGTCGGGCACTCGACGCCATTAGGTAGTCGAAACATTGTGCAAGAGTATTTAACAATGAAACGAGAATGGCTTCTCCGTGTTGACGATCCTTAAAGTTCCGCGTGGCATTAATGGATTTAAACATCTCACAGCACTCCCGGTTTATGTGCGAGGCAGGATTCTTTTGCATTGGCCTGGACATGCGCAGTGTCGTTAAAAAAAGGGGATGGCGTTTTGGTGAGTGAGTGAGTTGGGTTTAACGCCGCTTTTAACATTATTTCAGTTATATCACGGCGTGTCAGCTTAATGTGGGAGGAAAGCCCGAAGTTATGTAGGTCTAAGACGTTACCACCTCGGTGAAACCCACGAGCACGAGTATGGTGCTGACAAACCTAGAAACATAATTGGGGCGAACCGGGATTCGATCCCACAATCATACGTTTCTGGCGTGCCCAAGGGACGCAACTCTGCACAGCGATTCGCGGCGCCTTAGACGCCTGGGCCTGCCGTGCCCCCGAATGGCGTTTTGGGGTTTCCATGTTTCCATGATATAAGTAAAAACATCCACTCCAGAGAATAATCACTTTTGATTATCTGTCGAAACTGATTCCTCTGGGTCTAAAAAGGAAAATAGTGGTGAGAGTTATATAAATAGATCACTGTAAATCAGTGATGACACCAGGTGCTCAACACACACCCAGGGGTAATGGGTTGGTCTTGCGACAAGGGGTCTCATTGTATTGAAGCCACCGTGGTTGTGGTCATGCAGGTCTGTGTCCACACTGGTCAGTTGTTTATGTGATTTCTCATTGGTCAGCATTGTCTGAGGGGCCGGTCATTATGCACCTATTTTGTTTCTTTTTTTGTTTGTTTTCGAAAAGAATTACCCGTCCCGGAAAACCCTTAATATCTTAAGCCGTAAACCGGTGAAATATTAGACGTCCCTTATCTCATATGAAATAAAAACCGGTCTGTGTCTCTTGAAGAAAATCATTTTGTAAAATATTGAATTAATGTCTCGTTAACAGGACAGACTTGCATATTGCCTCAAAACGAGGCAGTCAACTGCAACAAAATGCTCTTCTGCAATCGATGGCTTTATAACGAGGCGGTACTGCTTTAACCCAACTCTTAGCTTCATGTATAAAGCCATGATCAAACCGGACCGTCATTATGCCCGGATGTCAGATTACGAGAGCGTCAGGGCAGCGAGTGGACCTGCGTGAAACAAATAGCCCTGTGTGTCGAGGATGATCCCCGTCTGTACTCACACTATTCTGGACGTTGACAGGCACGCCTCCCTGTGCCAACACGTATACGTATACTACAGGTCGGCTCAAGCAGTGGTGGAGGAGAGTGGCGCCATTCTGTTGCAACACATACAGCATGCAATTTTAAAACGTGTCATTAAGAAAATGTATACAATTTCAGATTATGTACATGTAAACGTATCTCCAATAAATTGTTATAGCAAGGTCCTAAAATGCTGCAGCCATACCATACCACTACTTAGTATTCATAACGTATATGGCCATGGCAAGGACTAAGCTGTAATGGATATATTGGATACATAAATCAGTTTTAAAAGGTTTTGTGTAGAATTAATGCATTAATGCATTAATGATTGTAATATTAAGGTACTGCGTGCATAAAACAGCTGCTTACAACGCTACTGTGTAGTAAATCTTGATATTTACTATGCTTTCTGACTTTGTTTAATTAAAAGCAACAAAAATCATTCCCATTATCAGAAAAAATGTCAACTAAGAGTCCAGATTGTCCGGATTTCCGAAATAAAACCATATCATGTCTATATAACATCAAGGTGTGTGAAATTTGGTTTTCCTATCGACAGACTTTTCTGTGGGGAATGAAGATCTCCTATATTATGAAAACGAACCTTGTAAAAGAATCTCGTTCCAAGTTTCTGGAGTAGTCTCCGCGCATGCTCAGCTCCACTACATCTCTGTCCGGGGGTCACTTCCGGTGCCTGAAATGTGCAGCATGGGGTTTGTAATGATAAAGAAGACTACGACTGAGCTCTGGTGACCGAAACCCTTTTGTATTGCCTTACCGGTTAATATGCGAGTCCTTAATAAAGTCTTCAAGAATGTTTGCATATTTTCATCTTAGAGTGAGTGAGTGAGTGAGTATGGTTTTACGCCGCTTTTAGCAATATTCCAGCAATATCACGGCGGGGGACACCAGAAATGGGCTTCACACATTGTACCCATGTCGGGAATCGAACCCGGGTCTTCGGCGTGACGAGCGAACGCTTTAACCACTAGGCTACCCGACCGCCCCTTTTATCTTAGAACTATGAGCCTAAATTTGTATATAAAAAACATCTGCAACAATGTATCTACGTCACAAACAATTTTTTCAACAGTCTGAAGCACTGGTTGAGAATATACTTTGTCAAAAGTTATGAACCTGTAAACACGAAGGATTCGAATTTACTGCCTCGGTTGCCGAGTTTACAAATGTGTAGTACCATGTCAAAGTCTCTGCCAAGAAAGATAAATATAAAAAGTATAAAATCAATGTTAATTAATCACTGATATTCCGTCGGTTGTACTGTTTACATCCACCGTGAAAACACATCACACACATTGAATTCAATTTCAAATGAAATACTTGGTTGAAGCATGTCATCGATCCCAATTGCGTGGATCGATGTTCATGATGTCAATCACTAGATTGTCTGGTCCAGACTTGATTATTTACTGACCGCCGTCATATAGCTGAAATATTGCTGAGTGCGGCGTAAAACAAAAAAAACAGCCAAACCAATCAAATGAAATACTTCGTCCTTTTAAACACACATTGGTAAATTGATTTGAAAAAAAACTAAATAACTAATTTTCATAATGATAATTTTGATAATGATATACTACTATATTGCTGCCCATGGTTTTGAGAGTGTGAGTTTATTTTATGCATGTGACCAGGCATGTGATGACAGGCACAGTGACTAGGGTAGACAACCCCACCGTCCCCATACTAGTAATGATGATGATGATGATAGTAAGGACTTATAGAGTGCGTTAAGTTTATAGTAACTATAAATCTCTTTCTTAATATATCGGCTTAATTTGGGAGGAAAGCCCAATTTGTGTGATGTAGGTCGCACATCTTATGTGAAACCCACGGTCATGGATATGGTGCTTTGATCTGTGATTTAAACAAAACGATCATCGGATCCTAGTATGTCAAAGGGACGAAACTCCACACAAGTTGCAGCGCCATCGACCACCGAGTCACTCGTGTCCCTCTCATGTAGATAAGTAAGCTATGATTAATGACACTTTGCAACTCAGACAACTTAACCATCCGTGCCTCTGATAATGTGATCGGAAAGGCATAATGACTCATTATGGGTTAGTTCTTACAATGGCGTTGCAATCAGACAATTAAAATGATAAAATGATAATTTCACTTACAACATCCTGTTTAGTTTCACGTTGAGAGAGTACCCCTTTGTCTGCATCCGGGTTGCTGCCAATGTTGTTTTCCATATTGTCAGGTGAAGTGGCCGTCAAGGACGTTCACGACAGTACCGATGACACATAGATCTGTCCGCTCCTCCAGGTGAGACCCGCTACCTGTAAAGGTGAGATGAAATAGGGTTATAACCTAGCGTTCAAAATGATACTTATATAGTGACGTACATTCACGTGTGTGTGTGGCTGCTTGTACTAGCCCGGACTAGATGCCGGCTTTATGCCACTGAGATACCATGACGTAGTTTATCATGGATACATCACTACACATTATCCTGATTCCGAGCCGACCAGTCCTTGTTTCATCTCCTTAATACCGAGAACCAGGCTGGTAAACAACAAGCGCCATCTTTAACGTCACCCGTGAACATCCGGGTAGAGAATAGGTCTTCAGCAACCCATGCCTGTAGTGAGCAACCCATGCCTGTAGTGAGCAACCCATGCCTGTAGTGAGCAACCCATGCTTGTAGTGAGCAACCCATGCCTGTAGTAAACAACCCATGCTTGTAGTGAGCAACCCATGTCTGTAGCGAGCAACCCATGCTTGTAGTGAGCAACCCATGCTTGTAGTGAGCAACCCATGCCTGTAGTGAGCAACCCATGCCTGTAGTGAGCAACCCATGCTTGTAGTGAGCAACCCATGCCTGTAGTGAGCAACCCATGCCTGTAGTGAGCAACCCATGCTTGTAGTGAGCAACCCATGCTTGTAGTGAGCAACCCATGCCTGTAGTGAGCAACCCATGCCTGTAGTGAGCAACCCATGCTTGTAGTGAGCAACCCATGCTTGTAGTGAGCAACCCATGTCTGTAGCGAGCAACCCATGCTTGTAGTGAGCAACCCATGCTTGTAGTAAGCAACCCATGTCTGTAGTGAGCAACCCATGTCTGTAGTAAGCAACCCATGCCTGTAGTGAGCAACCCATGCCTGTAGTGAGCAACCCATGCCTGTAGTGAGCAACCCATGCTTGTAGTGAGCAACCCATGCCTGTAGTGAGCAACCCATGCTTGTAGTAAGCAACCCATGTCTGTAGTGAGCAACCCATGCCTGTAGTGAGCAACCCATGCCTGTAGTGAGCAATCCATGCCTGTAGTGAACAACCCATGTCTGTAGTGAGCAACCCATGCCTGTAGTGAGCAACCCATGCCTGTAGTGAGCAACCCATGCTTGTAGTAAGCAACCCATGCCTGTAGTGAGCAACCCATGCCTGTAGTGAGCAACCCATGCCTGTAGTGAGCAACCCATGCCTGTAGTAAGCAACCCATGCCTGTAGTGAGCAACCCATGCTTGTAGTAAGCAACCCATGTCTGTAGTGAGCAACCCATGCCTGTAGTGAGCAACCCATGCCTGTAGTAAGCAACCCATGCTTGTAGTAAGAGACGACTAACGGTTGGTCAGGCTCGCTGACTTGGTTAATGCATGTCATCGTATTCCATTTGCGGAGATCGACGCTCATTGTGTCAATCACAGGATTGTCTGGTCTAGACTAGATTATTTACAAACCTCGGTCATTTTGGTGGATGTTTGCTGAGTGCGACGTTAAACAACAAACAAAACAAAACATGTTTAACGTCTTTTGGTATGACGCGTCCGGGGATTGAACCACCAACCTTTCGCTCCCCGGGGAGGCGCTCTATCCACTACACCACGGAGATGGTCCGTTACTTGTAATTAAATGTGGCATGAGTGAGTGAGTTAATCTAGCTTTAAAGGGGGCTTGTACTCCAACGTCTGGAACCATATGGAGACTTTGTAATCAGTGGACGACATTTGTGTATCCTTGGGAGGGGCTGTGGGGTTGTTGTTTTGAAAACAGAATTGTTCCAGAAACACTGGAAAAACAATTGTTCTCATGTTTGACCAAACATATAATGATTTTTGAAGCAATGACCGAAAAAACATTCTGTCTGTATTTGTTTCTTTCTTGTTTAACGCCGCACTCAGCACTATTCCAGTTAGACAGCGGCGATCTGTAAATAATGGGAGTCTGGACCAGACAATCAAGTGATTGACATCATATGCATCAGAAGTAGAAAAACAACTTATTTGCGTGTCGCATGTTTCATTACAGAAAAATAAAATTAAATCAAGCATGAATGTAATACACCAGCATCCCTGTTGAGTTTATCCTCAATTTGATATTAATACACAGAGATCAGATCAGAAAGCGCAGATGCATCGGGACATAAGCCATATCCGAAACTGAAATATAACATTTGATATAATCATATCTGGTTTAGTAGACAACGTGTTTTACACAAATTGAATCAATTTGCAACGGCTGCCATTTTGGACGAACCAAATGCCTCCTCTACACGCATCAGTTATATATTTTCGATTGGAAGGGTCTTGTTAAAGGGGACGACCCTCGGGCAATGGCTAAGACCCGGCGATATCGAATCAAGTTGTTCAAACACCACTTTGTTACGCAAACGCCACCTTTCATTTAATGTCTAACGGGTTCAGTTGTTGGGTTTATAAGTCGATGTAATATATACCCTTCTTCCCGAGGCAAAGGAGTTAACTGACTATAAAAGTCCAGTTTCCACCCTTGCCAAACTAGGCTGGAATTATGCAGTTATATTTTGGCTGGACTAACGAGTCTATGCATAGTCCAATCAAAATCGCCATTCGGTGGTTAACGCCACACACAGCAATAGTCCAGCTGCGGTCTTGAAGTCATCGGGTCTGGACCAGACAATCCAGTGACTGACATGGTCAGCATCTATCTACGTAATTGGGATACGATCACATGCATCGATATTCGGGTGGTCAGATTCCTTACTTAAGTCAGCGTGTCAACGTACCCTGACAGCGTGATATCGTTGCTCATATTATCAATCACTGGATCGTCTGGTCCATACTTGATTACTTACAAGCCGGCGTCATATATAGGTGGAATACTGTTGATGTACTACAGAACGATTCCATTTCGAAATGTGCATTATGAATTAAGGTACAGAATATCTTTAGCACAAATATCAGAAAATGTCGTCATCCATGTTTTATTATCGGGTGATGACCAAACAACGCTTTTCTGAATCTTAGAAACCGTACGCTATGCAATAACTGTTTTCACCCAGTTTACCGTAGAGCACAGTGGGAGTGTTGAATAAACACACAATTAACAGTTTTACAATCTCACAAGGCTATTTACAGCCACGTAACCCTCGTTAAGACGATTGCCAGACAAGGGACAGAGTGTATCGGGAACTTTGGAGGTATGCATTCAGTCCGCGAGACAATCGCGGCGATCAACGAGGACGTTGCAGAGAGATCCGGGAACCAGTTTACATACAGCAACAGTAAACTGGTTCCGCTGTTGGTTCGCGCAAGCTTGGAGATTTTAGCCGATTACTCATTTAGGTAGAGAGGAGCACAGTCAACAACAGCAGTTGCTGACGGTCCAAGTATCAAGATACGTGCCTGTCTCTTGAGGTGCAGCTCATGAACTGAGCGACCCGGAAACATATTGAGGAGATTGACAAGGGTAGGGCTTAACAGCTTTATCGGCTGTGCTGATAGATTATTGAGAGTTGAGGGGTTGCTAGTTGTCACTGTGAATGTACTATAAGTCAGAATAGGTGAGATGACGTGAAATTGGGTTTAACGCCGCGTTCAAGATCATTGCACTTATATAGCGACATTGCGTGTGTCCGTCCCACCCACCAGTACTTGTTTATCCCCTTGATGCCGAGCGCCGGACAAGAAAAAAAACCAAGTACCGTTTTTTGATAAGACGCGGTCGGGGGTCGAACCAACGACCTTCCTCTCTTCTGGCAGACGTTACGAAACATTCAGGAATATTCCAACCATAGCATCACGTCAGGTTGACAACATAGCACCGATCCTCGCCGTCAGGACTCCATTGAGTGACGTAGTGTGGTATACAAACCCATGAAGTATTAACGATGCTTGTTTGTCAGGGAAAGGACAAGGGATCTACTTACCTCGAAATCCCCACGAGGAACATAATTCCAGAAAAAAAAAACAACTTCCATCCATATTCGGACTTTGTTTGAATTTCATTTTTCTACAGTGGTGACAGGTTCGTGAATGTGGCTTAACGACGTACTTTAGCAATAAATATCGGGGGGGGAGGGGGGGGCAGCACAATTAAGTTTCTGGTACAGAGTTGTGTCCCCTACCTGACAGGATCCGCTTGTCGTGGGTTTAATCGACACAGGCCCAGGATGAGGATTTTCTGTCCATGTCAGCAACATACCCGTGTCCGTGGGTCTAAGATCTGCACCACTTCGGGATTTCCACTCACTTAACGCTGGCTGACATGCCCCACCTCCACCCCCACCCCCACCCCCACACACCCTTACACCAAAACACACCCACCCTTTGACCTATCATGGTGTCCACATGCACCACTCATGCATCCTCCCGTATCTTTTGTCTAAAAACACCAGAAATTGACAAACGGATGCGTTTTAAAAAATGTCCATGCAGGTGCTACGCTTTATTGTTAATCACTTTATATGACATCAAATCTGAACTTCAGAAGCACTTTCCGTTCTACAACTAAAAAAACCCAGTAACCAGACTCTAAACAGATGACAAAATCTTTATATCAAAATACGCTGGGGATCAAGAATATTTTAGGGGATATGTTGATAAATTTTGTGTGACAGTCTTCGCTACAAAAAATATCCCCAAAAATATTCATAATCATGGACTTTTTGTTCAGTATACAGCAAGCGTTGTCATTGTCATACTCAATAAAAAGTCACGACCATTTTTAACAATAATAATCAAGTCTTTTTTTACAAAGAATGGGAATGGTAACGTTAAAATCTACCACACCTTAAGAAACATTCAAAGGAGATATACGCAGATCGATGAAATCAATGACCACAATGTCAGAGCGTCGCCTACCTGTAATTAACAATGCAGCGATTGTTTCCAATTCACGACCCAAGACAATAAACACACATGTCACATCAAAAAAGCAGAGTCGGCCGCGGTGCTTATTTCAATAGCAGTGATTGATCTCCAACGTGAACGCTATTGGCAAGGACCCGTGATCGCGAGGTGTAACAGAATAGGTGACTTGATTAAGTCTGACATCCAAATCACTGGCAAGAGCCACGAGGTTA